TAATGTCTTTGTAGGTAATACTTGAACTCTTGGCAATACTGAAATAAGTTAGAAATGAAACTTTTACCTATCAACATTTTTCATTTAAAATCTCATTCTTAAATTATGACTACATGCAGATATTATAAATATGATATACTTACAACATTGACTTAGTTACTGATCCCATTTTAGGTTCAAAATAGTCTTAATTTTATAGAAAAATAAACTAATAAGATCAAATTGCACATTTCCTATCAATATTTTATACACTTACATTTGTTTTCATTGCTGTGTGTATATACTTTAGATTTTTGAATTGCATATACATATTTTTAAATATTAGTACTTGGTATTTTTTATTTTTTAAATATATATATTTTTAATTTCAGAGAGGAAGGAAGAGGGAGAGATAGGAACATCAATGATGAGAAAATCATTGATTGGATACCTACTGCATGCCCCCTGGGGATTGAGCCCACAACCTGGACATGTGCCCTTGACTGGATTTGAACCTGGGACCCTTCAGTCCACAGGCTGACTATCCACTGAACCAAACAGGCACAGTACTTGGCATTTTATTTTATTTTATTTATTTATTTTAAATATATTTTATTGATTTTTTACAGAGAGGAGGAGAGAGGGATAGAGAGCTAGAAACATCGATGAGAGAGAAACATCAAACAGCTGCCTCTTGTACACCCCCTACCAGGGATGTGCCCCCAACCAATGTACATGCCCTTGACCGGAATCGAACCTGGGACTTTTCAGTCCGCAGACCGACACTCTATCACTGAGCCAAACCGGTTTCGGCAGTAGTTGGCATTTTAGGTGCTGCATATGAAGTGATGCTACAGTGTGTTTAACCATTCCACGGTTTATTTTTCACTGTTATATATCAGGTGAGCCATGAGAATTTTGGCACAAATTTCAAAATCTTTTCCGATTCCATTGTCATCTTAGTTCCTTTGATTGCATTATCAGCTACTTCCTTGTTTCTAAAAAACAAAAGAGTCTACTATTGTTAGTTCTGTATATTACAAGTTGAGGCTATATTAAGATTGAGTCAGTACCATCTCCAGTGTTATGGGTGATTATTACCACCAGTAACACTTTTAGTTTTAACAGTAATTTTCTACTTTTATCAGAGACTATTCTGATGGCCAAGATTCTCTTAAAATGATTTTTAAAGTTTGTTTGAATCTAGGTTCAGATACGGTCCATACATTCCATTGAGTCTTTTAAATGTAATTTTATAGGTTTCCCCTTTATCTCATTTTTTCTTAACGATTTAAACACTTTTATGATATGCTTAGATGTGATTTTCTTTGCATTTCTGTTCTGCTTGGGTTTTGCAGTTTTAAGTCTGTGGGTTTGTGTCTTTAATTAGTTTTAGTCCAAACTGGGCCATTATCTCTTCAAATACTATTTTCCTCCCATTCTGTCTTCTCTATCTGGGTTGCCAATAACAAGTACATTGTGCTTTGTCACAGTGCCCTGCAAGTCCTTTACATTGTGTTCTGTATTTTACTGTGATTTTTTCCCCTCCCTCTCTTTCTTAATTTCTCCACTTCCTATTAAACTATCTGCCAGTTCTCTTATTTTCTCTTCTTTTGTACCTCATGCGAAATTTATTGATTTTTAGATTCACTTGGCAGGTATGTATTTGATGTCTTTTTGCTGTTCATAATTTTCACCCTTACCTTTTTCTTCTTCTTCCTCTTCTTAAAGAATACCCTTCAGCATTTTATGTATTCCTGATTTGGTGGTGATGAACTCCTTTAACTTTTTTTTTTTCTTCTGTGAAGCTCTTTATCTGACCTTCAATTCTGAATGATAGCTTTGCTGGGTAGAGTAATCTTGGTTGTAGGTTCATGCAGTTCATCACTTTGAATATTTCTTGCCACTCCCTTTTGGCCTGCATAGTTTCTGTTGAGAAATCAGCTGACAGGAGGCTTTGGAGTTGTCTGCACCAGGTTTCAAGTTTGCTGGGTTAAACTACACTAGAGAAGGCCATTCATATGCAAAAGCCTCTGCTTGGAGCTTGGTTTGTTTGTAGATTGTGCAGGGCAGAGTCTCAGGGAATCACTAGGCTAGGGCATGGCCAACAGTGATGGCTGCCCACCAGCCGCCTCTGCCTCTCTGCCCACGTCCCGCGTCTCTCGCCCCTGCACAGCAAACAATTATTCTTGCGTGCAGCTCTGCAAGCAACCACCCTCACTTTCTGACCCAATGGCAGACAGTCTAGCTTCTCTCCAGAAACTTGACCTCATAGAGGTTGGGAGCTTGTCTCTCTTCGAGTTGAAGAAAGCAACGCCCGCATCCAGCAGGGATCCATGGCCAGCCCATATCACACACGCCCCCCCGCCCCCGTACCTTAGTTTTTCAGTGCTTGTGCCCTGAATGCTCTTCTCTTTCTCAGTCTAGTTGTAGAATTTCCATTCAGCCAGTTTTCCCGTGGTTCTGGGTGATAGACGTTTGTATTTTAGTTGTAATTTTGTAATTGTTGTGCCCAGCAACAGTTTAGATGCCCACCTACACCGCCATCTTGGATCCCTTCCTGGCTGCAATAATCTTGAAAGCTTTCTTTTTCACTATTAATATTTAATAGGAGCCCACACTTTGAATTTTTCTAGGCGGCCTGACCATATTTGAGCCTTGTGGTTCTCAACAATTTTGCTTTCCCAAGAAACATTTAGCAGTGTCTGTAGTCATTTTTGATTGTCACACAGGGGCGGACGGAGAGTGCTACTTGCACCAGGGGCAGAGGCCAGGAATGCTGACACTTATCTGCAGCATTAGGTGCTATTTTGGAGAAATCTTGCCATATACTAGTTTAGCTAGCATTTATGGGCTTTTTAACAATTTATGAAATCATATTACCTTTACCACAATTTATGAAATTGATATTGTTGGACCTTTATTAACAGACTAGAGGCCCAGTGCACAAACTTCTTGCATGGGGTAGGATCCCTAGGCCTGGCTGGTGATTGGGGTCAATCTGGGCCTTCTGGCTGCTCGCTGGGACCTCCCTTCCCTGGCTGCTGGCTGGGACCTTCCTTCATTCCATGCACCCCCTGGTGGTCAGCACATGTCATAGTGAGTGATCTAACTCCCGGTCAAACTTATGTGGGAACAATTTGCATATTAGGCTTTTATATAAATAGGTAGTGAATACATTTGAGGAGGCCATATAACTTACCAAAGGTCATACAACTAACCTTCACAGAACCTTCTTTGCATGCCATCTATCTATGTGATTGCCAAAAGTAGGCATTTGAGGAATGCTGATAAAGAGCATATATGTATCTTTCTCCTATACATGACCATAAAGATAAACAGCTTTAAAGAGTTATTAATGCTAAAACTAAATTTAGCTCTTGGCAGTTGTTACAGAATTTTTGATAACAGATTTTTGATGCAACTCTTCTGTCTTTACTAGAGGCCCAGTGCACAAAATCATGCACGGTTAGGGTCCCTAGGCCTAGCTGCAGTCAGGGCCTTGTCCACCACCTATTGTCACTCCTCCACCTCCATGGCCCCTGTCCCAAGAAGCTCCATGCTATCTGCCCCCTCCCCCAAACCCCCCGAGACGCTCCACGCTTGCTGCCCTCACCCCACGATGCTCTTCTGCCTCAGCCACCCCACGAAGGTCCACATTAACAGCCCCTGCCCCATGGAGCTCCTTGGCCTCGGCCACCCCGTGTTGTGACGTTCCTTCACCTCGGCTGTCCCGTGAAGCTCCATGCTTACAGCCCCCACTCCATGAGTTTCCTCAGCTCCTGTGGCCCCGCCCCACCACGCTGTGAGAGTCCGATAGGTCATTTGGTGGTCCTGGTCATAACAGCCACTGGCTTTTTATATAGATAGATTATGAGATGTCATAATCAATCTTGTTCCTAGCATCCCCTCTCATAGGTGCCATTCCACAGGCAAGTTTTTTCTTCTAGGACTGTGCTGCCAGTTAATTTGGGGGCTGGGAGTGGAGGGTGGTCATGATTTGGCAAGTAATAGTCTTACTCTAAAGTGTAGCTAATGAGTTCCATGCAGTCCAGGAAAACTTGCCACCTCATTTGAAACCACCTGAAAGTCTTTTTAGAAAGAGATGTCAGGTGTCATTGATTATTAAAGTACTGCCGAAACCTGTTTGGCTCAGTGGATAGAGTGTTGGCCTGCTCACTGAAGGGTCCCGGGTTTGATTCCGGTCAGGGGCAAGTACCTTGATTGCGGGCACATCCCCAGTAGGAGATGTGCAAGAGGCAACTGATCGATGATTCTCTCTCATCGATGTTTCTAACTCTATATCCCTCTCTCTTCCTCTCTGTAAAAAAATCAATAAAATATATTTTAAAAATAAATAAATAAAATAAAGTTCTTAGGTAGATTAAGTTGCTGGCAGAGCAAGTCATGTCCTACCAGAGAATCAGGAGTTCACTATTCACTTTAGCAGAGGGTTGAGAACCATGAAGGTGGTAGAAACATGTATGTTTTATAAAGTGTTCTTAGAAAGCAGTTTCAGTAGCTTTAAAGTATAACAAGTTTGATATCAGGTAAGCATTTAGGGCTTCAAAAACCTGGATTTCATTAGAAGCAAGTTTACTTAATGTCTTTGAAGGTTCATGTGTTGGAGAAATGGAAATGTTAACAAACTAATCAAACTTTTGTTATCTGTGTCATATAGGTATCTAGAAAGAGCCTTTTAAATCTTTGGTGTAGTCGGGACCGGTTTGGCTCAGTGGATAGAGCGTCGGCCTGCGGACTGAAAGGTCCCAGGTTCGATTCCGGTCAAGGGCATGTACCTTGGTTGCGGGCACATCCCCAATAGGGGGTGTGCAAGAGGCAGCTGGTTGATGATTCTCTCTCATCAATGTTTCTAACTCTCTTTCCCTCTCTCTTCCTCTCTGTGAAAAAATCAATAAAATATATTTAAAAAATAAAAATAAAATAAATCTTTGGTGTAATGAGTGGGGAGCCGGGTTTTTATCAGACACTCAATTGTCCCTTTTCCTGGCTCTTTGCAGGTTCATCGCAATAGCCCGATGCGCTCTGGCTGTGATGTGAATCCCTTCTGTGCACTGTGTGGCTCAGGCAGTGCCAACACCATGCCTCCAGAAATCCACTACGAAGCCCCTCTGTTGGAACGCCTTTCCCAATTGGACTCTTGTGTTCACCCAGTTCTGGCATTTCCAGATGGTAAGAAAGGACACAGAATATCTATCTATACTAATGAAAGCCTAGTGAGACTCCATCACAAGATGGCCACATGCACAGTGGAGGTGGTGCCCAGCAGCCGCTATGCACGGCGAGGCCTGGGTGTCCTGTGGCTCCGCACAGTGCAAGGAAGGCCAGTCCCAGCATCTCCACCACCTTGTGCGGATTAGATGGGTCGCAGCAGGAGTGGGCAGTTGTGGGCCATCAGGATGGCAGGGGAGGGCAGTTGTGGGCAATTGGGCCGGCAAGGGAAGCAGTTAGGGAGAATCAGGTAGGCAAGCAAGTGAGTGGTTAGGAACCAGCCATCCCAGAAGGTGAGAGGGATCCCAGGTTGGGGGTATTGGGCTGAGAGACACAATACCCCCGACCCCCACTCCCGCACAAATTTCATGCATCAGGCCACTAGTAATCTAATAAATGAGACTTAAAGGGTTGAAAATGAAAGGAAGTCAGCTGAGATCTTGGTACAATTCAGATATTACAATTGTATTGCTATCTGTCAACAGTCTTCTCAGAAATTTTACAGATAGGATGCAATAAGTCCATCAGATTTGCTAAGAGAAAGATTTCTCCCAGCATTTCAAATGGCTAGGCACAGCTAAGGACAGTTGCCTTCAGCCACAAGTGAAGTGGTCTGTTATATCCCTGCATATCTTTAAAAATGTATTGCCTATGTGCCCGTGATGTAAAATAGGGTGGGCAGCACTATTCTGAGAGAGTGTCTTCATATTGGGGGTATATGTAGAACTGGGGGTGGTTACATGATGACTTTCCAAGGTGTACATGAGCATAGATCTTCATTGTTACCATGTACTATTTTTCTAAGACTAACCTACTGATAAACCTCTGTGCTTGCCAGTTTTCCTTTTCAATTGTTTTTCTCCCATTTCACAAAAGAAAATTATTCCTCTTACCCATATTGAGTCTCTTCTGTTTTTTTGTTTGTTTGTTTGTTTGTTTGTTTGTTTGTTTTTTCTCATATTAAGTCTCAATGTGGGTCTTGCCCCAGAGTATAAAAACTTTAGGCAGTAGGGACACCAAAGGGACCATTTCCAAGAATTCATGGCTCCTGAAAGAGAATCCTATGGGAATTAAGTAAAGTTAATGAAGATGGAGTTACCTTATTTTGTGTAGATTCAGTGTTTGTCATCTTAGACTAAATATTAAGAGACTAACTGAAGTTAGACTTTATTCTAACTTCTAAAAGTCTGATTGATTAAGGTTTAAAACAAAGACTTTTCCTTCAGCTAATTAAGCTAAATACAGTTACATGTCAAGGTGTTGATTAAAATATTTCTGAGTTTATGATTTTTTTTAAATAGCATTTCATGTGGTGCAAGTCCATGAGCAAAAATGTTAAAACCATTGCTCTAGCTATTGCCTGCAAGAACCCAGTGGTTCTTAATCTGAATTATTTCATTCATTTTCAAATAATCTCAGGATCTGGCTTCAACTTATAGCTATAAGCATTTCCTTTCAGATCACTGGTATTTTATCTATTATGTTATGGCTGTTTTTAAATTTACATTTCATTACTAAAATTATAAGCTTACTGAGGGTAAGGAACCATGTTTTCCCTCCTCTTCTGTCCTTTTATAACACCTCACAGATGTGCATTTTTTTTCAAGGAGGGTAATTGAGATAGGAATACTTAAAAGATAAATGAAATAGGACTCTGAGGAATGAAAATTATGTGGGATGTAAGGTTTACTTGTTTGTAGAAGAAAAAAAAAGTTTTAGCTTGATGGTATGTAAACTTTTTCTTTAAAAAGGTGCTCAGTAATTTAGATGTTTTGAACCGTACTATGTTTAGTCTATGCAACTACACAACTCTGCCATAATAGCACAAAAGCAGCCATAGACAATATGTAAACAAATGGTGTGGCTGTATTATAATAAAACTTTATAAAAATAATCAGTGCCCTAGCTGGTTTGGCTCATTGGATAAAGTATTGGTTTGTGTCCCAGATTCGATTCCAATTAAGGGCACATGCTTGGGTTGCGGGCTCGGTCCCCAGTGGAGGGCATACAGGAGGCACCAATCAGTGGTTCTCATCATTGATGTTTCTCTCTCCCTCTCCTTTACTTAATCAGTAAAAATAGATTTTAAAAAAATCATTAATAGACCCTGGCCAGAGTGGCTCAGTTGGTGATTGTCATCCTGTGCACCAAAAGGTTAAGGGGTCAATCCTGGTTGGGGTGCATGTGAAAGGCTACTGATTGATGTCTCTCTTTCTCTCCCCTTCTCTCTCTGCCTCCCCCCTCTTCTCTAAAATCAGTAAAAACATTTTCTAAAAAATCATTACTGATGTTTGTTCTTTAAATTATTGAATTCTTTTGTTTATTTTGTTAATCCTCATCTGAGGACATTTTTTTCCATTGATTTTTAGAAAGAGTGGGAGAGAGAGAGAACATTGATGATGTTAGACACATTTATGTGAGAGACACATCAATTGATTGCTTCTTGCACCTGCCTGATTGACTGGGGCTGGAGATCAAGCCTGCAATTGAGGTATGTGCCTTTGACTAGAATTGAACCCGTGGCCCTTCAATTCGTAGGGTGATGCTCTATTCACTGAGCCAAACCAATGAGGGCTGAATTCTTCCTTAACCACCTAAATTCTGTAACTACTCCCTGACTTGTTATCAAAACTCTTTTTTACTAAAGAAAGGACATGGTATGATATTCTTGCTGCCATTTACTTTCAGCAAGAGTAGAAATACTGCCGAAACCGGTTTGGCTCAATGGATAGAGCGTTGGCTTGGGAACTGAAAGGTCCCGGGTTCGATTCCGGTCAAGGGCATGTACCTTGGTTGCGGGCATATCCCCAGTGGGGGATGTGCAAGAGGCAGCTGATCAATGACTCTCTCTCATTGATGTTTCTAACTCTCTATCTCTCTCCCTTCTCTCTGTACAAAATCAATAAAAATATATTTTAAAAATAAAGTAGAAATATTTAGAAAACTTGGAACAGATGAATAGTAAGCTAGGCAGGGGTTTAGGTCAGGAATGGTAGAGCTGTAAATTAGCTTAAAACAGAATGAAAATTGAAGACACTAAAACATTTTCCCCTGTTTCAAATTTCAGGGTCATTAACTTCTACCTTCTCTTGCCATTTGGGTTATCATATACTAGCCATTTGTATAGCATCTTGTGGTTTAAAAAGCACTTTTCTCACAACTTGCCTTAATTGCTTCTCACAGGAATCTTGTAAGGTGTTGCTTTCAGCTTTCCAGGTTAAGAAATGGGTTTAGAGAGGTAGTAGTTTTATCTCAGGCTAAATGGCTAAAGACTTTAGATGGCTGTAGAATTCAGACTCGGGTCATCTGATGCCTGACCTTCATTTTTCTCTATTCTGTGTTCCTCCCCAGCCAGGTTATTAAGAGAAGTCAGGTTTCTACTCGATTCCACCCTCTTGAGTGCAGATGAAGCCAGCAGGAAGACTTAGGAAAAGTTCTCAGATTAGTTACTCTCTCAGGATTACCATGTTGAATTGTGTAGTCTCATATTTGAAAAAGAAGTCTGAAGCCTATACTGGTAGTTACATTCTGATTTTCATAAGGCCTCTTCATACTCATTGAACATCAACTGATAACATGGTGAGCATTCCTTTGACAACAGTATTACCATGCACAGTTGTGAGTTGTCTCCTCCATGTGCCCTTGCTGGAATCGAATAGCTAATAGTTCCCTATTAACTGTCCTTCTGATTGCATCATATTTATGGATCTAACCACTACCCTTAATACTTCCATCCCATTACAAGCAACTAGAGGTAGCAATAAGGTAAAGAGAAGGAAGGATAATTTTCCTGTCTGCCTCTATTATTTCTCCCTTTGTCTCTCTTGTCTTATATACACACAGAGCTCCTAACCATGACATTGGGGTTTGAACAAGAAATGGGCATTAAATTCTCCTTATTTGAAGAGAATTCATAGAAAGGAGAATATTTATGTATCTTTTATTATACCAAGTTGGATGGATGAACATCGTTGCCTATGGATAAATTAGACTTAATGTGAGTTGACCTGGGGTCCTAGATACCATATTAATACTGTTCTTATTCTGGTAATTTTGCTTTGTCCTAACAACTCCCACATTCAGAATGCAATCTATTTGTAAACTGGAAGATTTGCAGGGCCACAAGTCTACAGGACTCCATCCTATGTGAATCTTAACGTATTAAGATTCTCTGTGTATCATTGTGTAGAATAATTAATAACAGTGAAGACTAGCAGCCAGAATAATACTGTGGGTCAGATGTGCATCAGGGTCACCTTTTTGCAACCTCTTCATTTTGAAGTAGAACCAGTTGTGTGGTTTGTGAGGATAGGAACCAATACTAGTTCTCTCCCCCATCTTGTCCTCATTCACTCCCAGGAAGTGTGGCTAGATATATAGAATTTGAGGAACTGTAAACCCGGCAGGAATGTGGAGACATTAGGTTGTAATCACCTTTTAGTATTCCAGAAGGAAGGGCTTGTTTCCTTACCACCTTAATGAATCCGGGTTAATCTTTAGCTTGAAATACAGAGGATATATAACCTTGGGGGAAACAATGTTAGATTTGGGTTTAATAAGAGCACCACCTGCTGGCCATGATCTGTGTTTTGAGAGAGCTTGCCAAGACAACTACGGTAGCTGTATAGGAGGCTACCACAACTTGCCAGCAGGAGGAGAAAGTGAGCATTGCAAAACAACCCTAGAAAGTGTGTTTTGAGAAAATGGTGGAAGAGTATGAGCAAAACCGTCAAATTAATCAACCCTGGTGAGCCTGTAGTCAAGGTCTTTTCATTTTGTTTGCAGAAATAGTAACAAGATGTTTGTAATCACTTCTGTTTTCTTGTTACTGACCTGATCAAGTAATACAATCTTTATTCTCTAATATCACTTTAATGCCGTTGTCTGTGAGGGTATAGAATGTATGAAATCCTCTAGCTCTGTGGTCAGCAAACTGCAGCTCTCAAGCCACATGCAGATCTTTGGCCCCTTGAGCGTGGCTCTTCCACAAAATACACTGCCTGGGTGAGTCTATTTTGAAGAAGTGGCATTAGAAGAAGTTTAAGTTTAAAAAATTTGGCTCTCAAAAGAAATTTCAATCATTGTCCTATTGAATTTGGCTCTGTAGACTAATCGAGTTTGCCAATCTGCTCTAACTGAATGGGTCCCTATCATTTTTTTCTTCCATTTCATATATTTTTCTTCACTTACTTTCAGCTTCTCTATATCCAGTCTATTCCATAGGTTTAGCTCTACGTGGATCCTAGGTTTAATTTCTTCAGGTAGAGCGTAAGTTCACATCAGTAATTCCTAAGAGATCATTTTTGTTCACTGACTGGAGGGTTTGCCAGTTCTCTTTTATATGAAAGCACTTAAAACACAGAATACTTCTAGCAAACTATAGCTGCCTGAGTTTCCTAAATACTAGTACTTCATTATTATCCCTAACTGCTTATTCAGTGGTTTGTAGGAGGAGTTCTTCTGTTTATTACCTCAACTCCAAGGATGTCCTCCCTTGTGCTTACTCGAATTATTTGATAGTGGATGTCTGGATTTAATTTTTTAAGAAGAGTCTGAGGTCTTGGGGTTCAGCAGAAACTGTGATTGCTTAGCCTATGTTCCAGAAGACAGAGGAGGGGAGAGCTAGGTTACCAATCCTGGTCTAGGCCTGCTGCCTCATCTACAGATGGAGAAGGTAATGCCTGGTTAAGTTTACTTCTTCTTGTTCTTTTTTCCCCCTCCTATTCAGTGATGGTCCTGGGATCTGAATCCAGGTCTACTTCCAGTCCATTGCTTTTTTTCAATGTCTCCTTTTTCCCCTGGCTTAATTTTCAGTTTTGGGAGAGTAGTAATGGGGAAAAATAAAAGGAAAAATTTAAATCACTTCAGTTTTGTAGTCCCATTATATAGCCTTTGCCAAGTGGGAATAGCTCTTCTGGTGACAAAGGGGTATCTGGGATATAAAGGGAAGTGTTTTTTCTCCTTTTGTATACCTGTATATGTTCTAGCTTGGCCCAGCTTTCAGAATGCCTAAGGGCCAGCGTTCTATTCTCAGAACTAGAAAATAATGTCTGTTCCCAAGACTGCTTGCCCATTAGGGACATCGTCCCTGAAAATGGAAATATTATTTTTTAAGTATATTTTTATTGATTTCAGAGAGGAAAGATGAGTGGTAGGTAGAAACATAGATGAGAAAGGAAGTCATTGATTGGCTGCCTCCTGCACTACCCCATGGGATTGAGCCAACAATCCGGGCATGTGTCTTGACTGGGAAACAAACAGGCGACCTCTTGGTTCCTGGGTTGATGTTCAACCAGTGAGCCACACCAGCCAGGCGGAAATACTCTATTTATTATTCATTCTAGTCCTGAAAAATCTAGTTAGTGTTCAAACTAGGTTTTTGAAATATCATGAAATTGATGGTTTATACTATAGGAAAGAGGGGTAAAATTCTTTAATACTGCAGAACTCCCTTGAAAGATACCCTGTACGCCCCAGTTCTTTAGGAATAGTTTGAGAAACATCAGTCTTCACCTGAGAGTTAAACCTCTTCATTCTTTGATCCAAAGAATAATCTTAGGTATAGTGGCTAAGAGTATGGGCTTTAAGATTGTGCAAACCTGACTTTGAATGTTGGTTCTTACTAAACAGTGTAACCTGAGACAGTTAATTCACCTCTCTGAACCTTTTTTTTTGTTTGTTTTTTAATCTTTAAAAGGAGCATAATGATGATTACATCATGGAATTGTTAGGAAGATTGAATGGTATAATAAACACAATGCTAGCCACCTAGTAATGGGTTCAGTAAATGATCTATTCCTCTTTTCTTGCCTTCCCACTCAATCCTAGTTTATATTGAACACATATTCTACCCTCCCTCCCTCGTATGTTTAGAAAATAAGTAGAGTATGTTTGAAATAGTGCTGAAAAAAGAAGGCAGGCCATCAGTGACTAGAGTTTAGAATGAATTTTTGAATAATGGAAAAAAGGATAACTGTGGCGTAGGAGCTGTTACAGGAAGGTTTTTTTTTGCCAACAAAGAAGGACACAAGCTGGGATTAGACCTGGCATTTGCCTGGGTGCTGAATTTGAATTTGTTTTGGAATAGCTAAGTTGGATTTTCCTTTCTTGTACCTCTGCTCCATCACTGCTTATTGCCATCATTCTATGCTGCAGAAGTGGTGTGGACTCAGGCTAGAACTTTTGAGTATGTCCCAGGTGTTTAATGGTTCCCAGGAGGAACTGAAGCTAAAGAGAAATGTGGTCGTCTTCAGATTTAAAAGAACCTTGGGAAGCTTTTCAGAGCTCTTAAAAAAACAAAACAAAAACCCACAACAAATCTATTGTGGTGAAATTTTAGCATATTGAGATTACAAAAAGGAAAATCTAAGTTTCAGATTTCCACTAGAGGAATCTAACCAGAACAATAGGGCAAGAAATAAAAATGAAAGGCATATAGATTGAAAAGTATAAACAGCCTCTATTTGTGTGTGTAGAAAATCCTAAGGAATCTACAACAATGAAAAGCTATTAGTAATGAGCTTAGAAAGATCACAGAAAATAAGGTTAGTATATCTTAAAAATTACTGTATTATTATTTTTTAAAAGTCCTTTCTCTTTTTAGTGCTTCTTTTTTTTAATATAGGTATTTTATTGGTTTTTTTACAGAGAGGAAGGGAGAGTGATAGAGAGCTAGAAACATCGATGAGAGAAACATCGACCAGCTGCCTTCTGCACACCCCCTACTGGGTATGTGCCTGCAACTAATGTACATGCCCTTGACCGGAATCAAACCTGGGACCTTTCAGTCCACAGACCGACGCTCTACCACTGAGCCAAACCGATTTCAGGGGAAAAAAAATACTGTATTATTCTACCAATGAACAATTAATTAAAGTTGAAATTTTTAAAAAATGTTATAAAATACACAAAGTAATTAATAAACTTAAGAAAATGTAAATATGATCTTTACATTGAAAACTGACAAACATTGCTGAGAGAAAATTAAAGAAAACCTCAAAATATGGAGAGATACCATGTTCATGGATTCAAAGACTTAGTATTGATGGCAATTCTCTCCACATTGACCTATTAGAATCAGTTTAATGCCACAACAAGCTTTTTTTGTTTGCTTGTTTTTTCACACCTTAAAAGAGAACAGATCACCTACAAGTGAATAAGAATCAGTTTGTCTTATCTGCAACAGTGGATGTTAGAATACAATGGAGTAAAGCCTTAACAGTCTGAGATAAGTCTAAAAAGATTAATTTGTGATGTTGATATTAACTAATCAGCTAAAAAACCCAGATAATCTCCATTTGGGGTGGTGGGGCTCTAGAAGAAAGTGGAGGAAGATGGTAGAGTTCTTATTGGGGGGAAAGATATAGTGTACAATCAGTGCCTGCTACATAGAGAATAGCTATGGAATGGTTATATCCTGATAAATCTATATTGATGGAAGTAGGTTTAAATATTTTAGTCTCTAGAAGAATAGAAATAGGGCGTTTATCAGTCTTTCGAACCAATAAAGTTAAATTTATCAGAATATGTGCTGAAACCGGTTTGGCTCAATGGATAGAGCGTCTCCTTGGGGACTGAAAGGTCCCGGGTTCGATTCCGGTCAAGGGCATGTACCTTGGTTTCGGGCATATCCCCAGTAGGGGGTGTGCAAGAGGCAGCTGATCGATGACTCTCATCGATGTTTCTAACTCTCTATCTCTCTCCCTTCCTCTCTGTACAAAAATCAATAAAATATATTTAAAAATTTTTATCAGAATATGAACATAAAACTCCATCAGTTTAACAAAAGGTGTTTAAGGTATATTTTGGTGTTGAACTTGGAGAATGAAAAAGGCCAAAGTGACTTGCTTGTGAATAAGAGAATGACCTTCAATAAGATTCAGATAAGAGATATTCAATATCAGCGGTCACCAACTGGTAGTCCATGGACCACTAGTGGTCTGTGAGGTCCGAAAGGTAGGTAACTGCTTGGTTTAAGGAAACCTTTGGAACAGCGGTCTCCAAACTGGAGGCCTATGAGGTCCAAAAGGTTGGCGACCCATTCAATGATAGTGCTTGTCTTGCCAGGTCATGCCATTGGGCAAATAAAGAACGGTGTGATGTTGCTCTGGTTGTTGTGGCTCAATTGGTTGGGGCATTGTCCTGTGCACCCAAGGATTTGGGGTTGGATCCCTTGCCTCGGACCACGTGCAGGAAGTAACCATTCATTGTGTCCACTCTCCCCCTCTCTAGAAATCAATGGAAAGAATATTGTGGGGTGAATATTAAAACAAAAGAAGGGTCTGATGCAGATCTTGCCTTCTGGGAGAGCCAGAGTTACTGGTGAACTTACCTCACTTCGTGAGATAGGATCCCAGGAGCCAGGTGTTTGGACTAACCTTTAGGTGTTTTGTGTTTCTTGCAGATGTTCCCACAAGCCTGCACTTCCAGAGCATGCTGAAATCTCAGTGGCAGAATAAACCTTTTGACAAAATCAAACCTCCCAAAAAATTTTCATTTAAGCACAGAACACCCATACCAGGCAGTCTGCCAGATCCAACTCGTAAAGACAGGCACAAGTTGGTCAACTCCTTCCTAACAACAGCCAGTAAGTTTCAGGGGACCAGGGAGTCCTCTAGTTATTTTTCTATTCCTTTTAGAGCCTCATGTTACTGGTTTGCTATGGCAATATATTGGGTTTGGGAATTGACTATACAAAGTCAGTTTACAGTCTACTTCTACTTATCTTGGATTTTTTCAGATGGACCCAGAATGCTCAGTGAACAGCCATCAGTGGCACGGCATTGGGTCCATCTGTGAACAGGCTGTCTTCTGTAGCCTGGTGTCACATTTCTCTGAGGACCCCATGGGCTCCCTACCCATTTTGCTATTTGCTAGAAGCATCAGCCCCAGAGGACTGTCCTGCTGCCCCAGGTGTCTATCATTAACCTAGAGAGAGCTCAAGAGCTCGGAACTTTAATAAGATTAAGAGAAGATATTTCACAGCTCTTTTTCTGTTCCCCTCTTCAGAGCTGTCCCAACACCAAACCCGGCCTGACAGGACCCACAGGCAGCACTTAGACGATGTGGGGTCTGTGCCTGTGGTGGAGCGAGTGACAGCGCCCAAAGCAGAGCGCTTGCCCAACCCACCACCACTTGTGCATGACCCAAACCACAGCAAAATGAGATTGCGAGACCATTCATCTGAGAGAAGTGAAGGTAGGGCCAGGCCCGGCACCTCTACCTGCATTTGCACCTGCTCGGGGCTTTCTGGGGCAGCCTGCGCTTCTCTTAATTGCCCCCAGCTTTGTCCTTCACTCCAGGAAGGCAGAGTAGAGGGACCCTACTGCTTCTAAATGCAGGCCACTTCTTACTGCTGCCGCAACCTCTGCCCAGCCCCTTACCAGTTTGCTTCACTTTTTTATCCTCCAGGCTTAGAAAGAAAGCGTTTTTACCTTTACTGTGAATTGCTGGAATTCCTAGCCTTTGCTAGGAATTACAAGTAGAACTGGTAGAGGTAGCCACATACTCCTCTTTTCTGTTGACTTCTGCAGTGTTGAAGCATCACACAGACTTGAGCAGTTCGAGCTACTTGGCAGCCTCCCACCATTCACCGCACAGTCCTTTGGTGCGACAGCTCTCCACCTCATCAGACACCTCTGCGTCCACCAGCTCCAGCCCACAGGTTACAGCCAGCACATCTGTAAGTACCTGCATGGAGTTGGCCAGACAGCCCCTCTGCAGTTACAGTTCATTCAAATGTCTCTTTGGGACAGTTTAGAGAGTGGATTATGAAGCCCAGGGCAGTTATGGGGACTCAACTCATCATGATATTATGTGTCTTTTTACTTTTTAAAATTATATTTTTATTGATTTCAAAGAGGAAGGGAGAGAGGGATAGAAACATCAATGATGAGAGAGAATCATTGATTAGCTGCCTCCTGCATGGCCCCATACTGGCGATCAAGCCCACAACCCAGGCATGTGCCCTTGACTGGAATAGAACCCGGGACCCTTCAGTCTGCAGGCTGATGCTCTGCAGGACTGAGCCAGACCAGCAAGGGTGTTATGTGTCTTTTTAAAATCAGAGCGGTGGTATTTGATTTTCTGTTGAGTTGTTTTCATAATGGAGATACATCTGTGTTGAGCCATCCGTAAAAAGTGATGCAGAGAAAAACCTTTAAAGTGGTCTACGATTATTCAAGATCTGTGGGACTAAGTTTCACGTAGCACTCAACAATATCATAGCTCTAAAACCCTCTTAGTCTAAGAAGTAAGCCAAGAGAAGGGACAGAGGAGTGATACCTATGGGCATTGAAGACATTTGATTTCCCAGCTTTTACTCTCCTGGCGAGTGGAGCTACAGTACTTAGAATAAAGACTGATGTTAAGAGCCTGGAACAGAAGGGAGAAGGTAGAGCCCAGGCTTTTCTGGGGTCCAGAGCAGAATTACAGATCCAGCAGGCCACCCTGGCAGTGCTTGCTTGTGGTACACTCACAGTGATCTCATAAATACTGCATTCTATCCAGAAAGCTGGTCTCATAGCCATTTCAGACACACATTAGAATTTTGTTATAATACTTTAGTTCCTCAAGATGTGCCTCCTTGAACACATCTACCTATAGCGGCGTTCTGTACCAAAGAGTCCTTTATGTAGTAATTATAATAATAATGGTGATGGTAATAATAAGACACTGCCACTGTAATGTGTCAGTGCTAAGTGTTTTCCACATGTTTTTTCAGTTGGTTCTATAACACCCTTTGAGATGTAGTTGGTGTTAAGGATTCCCATTTTGTAAACAGGGAAACTAAGGCTTTCCAAAGTTAAATAAATTGCATAAGCAAGGCAACTTGTGATGATTATAATTGTGATTCAAGCCCAGGCCGCCTGGCTGCAGAGCTGGCTCTCTTACATTACATACACAGTGTTGACCACTGGGGCACCCCATGGCAGAGGCACCTTATGCAGGTGCTTTGAAGCCCCTTCAGAACTGACATCAAGAAACTTCTAAGCCCACAAAATGTGCTCACTAGGTAACTGTGATAAGGTAGGAATTCATTGTTCTGTCTTTGCTCTTAAAACTCTTTTCTGAATAGTCTCTTATTTCCTTCCTCTTCTTCACCTCCTACATTCCACAAATTTTGTCTTAATAGGTTTATGTAGTATCTATCACAAACTTAGCTACCCATCAGCAAAAGGTAGATAACCAAAAGACGAGGATTTCAGAGAGAGTTGAATTCTGATAGAAAACATGAACTTATAATTTATTAAGTATAAATAGCCCTGTGTTAATCAGTAAGGCTCTTGCTGCCTTTTTTTTTTTTTTTTTTTTTTAAATAAGAAGCTGGATCTATTTAATAAAGTGAAAGGCCAGATAGTTAAAATAAGCTAGAGAAGCTAAAGGACATGGAGAGACATTTAGGGGGACCGAGAGCAGGAAGAGGTGTGTATGCTAGTGCTTCACAAAAGATAGTGGATGAATCAGAATCAACTCAATGACTTTTTAAAATATCCCTGAAGATTTCTGATTTTATAGTCAGAAAGGGGAGTCTGAGAAATGTTTATTTTTTTTAATTTTTATTTTATTTATTTATTTATTTATTTATTTTTTAAGCTCTCCCTCTTTATTTTGCTTCTGTTGTGCAACCAGGTTTGGGAACCACTGTCCATTCCCATCACTTTCTCTCCACCTCTGATTCTAAACAGAAGAGTAGTTATGTTTGACCAAATTAGTATCTGATGGAATGGGAGCGAGTCGTTTTAGGGGAATTATATACCTGTTTTTGGCAGCAGTTTTACATTATTATTTTTTTTTTAATCCGTTTTATGGAGAAAGAAACATCCGTTGGCTGCCTCATGTACGCTCCCTACTGGGGATCAAGCCCGAAACCTGGGCTTGTGCCTGACTAGGAACTGAACCAGTGACCTCCTGTTATATATGGAATGACATTCAACCACCTGAGCCATACCAGCCAAGCTTGCATTCATTCTTGGTTAAGATATATGGAAAGCTGCCGAAACCGGTTTGGCTCAGTGGTAGAGCGTCAGTCTGCGGACTGAAAGGTCCCAGGTTTGATTCCGGTCAAGGGCATGTACATTGGTTGCGGGCACATCCCCGGTAGGGGGTGTGCAAGAGGCAGCTGGTCGATGTTTCTCTCTCATCGACATTTCTAGCTCTCTATCCCTCTCTCCTCCTCTCTGTGAAAAATCAATAAAATATATTAAAAAAAAAAAGATATATGGAAAGCTATCTCTTGGGGCTTCCTTAAGGAAATCTTCTTAGTAGGACACATAATTTCAACAAAGGAGTAGGAGACAATGACAGTCTATTCCAGTGATTGTCAGCCAGTGTGCTGCAAGAACTTTTAAAACATGCAATACCTGACTATATAGTCCAGGGCACTGACCTCTTTTCCCTTAGATTGTCAAATAAGAAAATGACAACAGCCAACAACCATATCCATCTGGTGTGACTTGAATCAAAATTATACCTTCTTCTTTTCTTTTTTTCTCGTATTGGGAAAAAATATATTTTGGGGTGTGCCACAAAATTTTACTACTTAGTTTACATGTGCCATGAGATAGAAAAGGTTGAAAATCACGGATCTATTTTCACTTGATAGAGAATAAACTTGAGGTGAGAAAGACATTGTGATAACCTAAGGTCATAGGTAACATAGTTAAAATCCTTGCCCAGGAAGTGCACTGCCTTTCAACATTCTCTGAGAATGTCCTGAAATGATGCGGTGAGTCGGTTATACGTCGCCCTCCAGGAACAGAGTAGAGTAGTTAGTTGTAGGGAACAATCTCTTCCTCATCTTCTTTCACTAACCTCTTCTGGGCCAAGCACACATGGTGGTTTGGGTTTGAATGCCGTCTCTTAGGTGTTTGCAGCTGTATTGTTGCCACGGCAGCATGTTTGTCACCCACTGTTTCCTTCTGGCCTCTCCCAGCTCAATTGCCAGTCTCTGTGGCAGGGTAGGGTGTTGGCTATCTGGGCACAAACAGCTAGTGGGCTTTTTTCTCCATCTATGAAACCAACCCCTTTGGCTTTATCCCTTCTTTGGTCTCCCAGCTGCTCTAGGTGCCCACCTTCTCATTGGATCCTCCGTAGTCTTTCCCAAGAGTTTGATTTTGTCAACTTGCCTTTTCCAGGCGTGAGCCCCAAGAATAATAGCCACAAAGAGGGAAATCACATAGTGGCTGAGCAGACAGTGGGTTCAGATTTAGCTGAAGTGTTCAGATCTATAAGAAGGAGGTGATTTCATAACATCTAAGGTTAGATAATCTATTGAACTGGACCTGTTTTTTGGGCATCTTTCGGGATAAGGGAAATCATCTTTATAACCCGAAGAGTCACCACTAGGTTTAAGCATTGCTTTTAGGAGCTACTGTGAGTCTAAGTCATGGATGGGGATAAAAAGGGGGAACAGAAAGGAGGATTTAAAGTGGAGGGAGGGGTTGGGGGATTGGAGTGGGGGTTTGAGGACAAATATGTGATACCTTAATAAAGAAATTTTAAAAAATAAAAATAAAATAAATAAATAAAAAGAAAAAAAATAAAGTGGAGAGAGGTGTGTGTGCGTGCATATAAGCCTAACCAGTGGTCATGGACAGCAGAGGGGTGGGGGCATACATGGGGAGGGGTTTGGGATGGGAATGGGGGGATGAGGACAATTATATGATACCATAATCAATAAACAAAAAAGAGAAGGGGGAAAATATATATATTATATATAGTGGAGAGAGGTGCCTGGCTGGAGTGGCTCAGTTGGTATTAGGTGTCCTCCTGCACCAAGAGGTTGCAGGTTCAATTTCCAGACAGGGCACATGCCCGGGGTGCAGACTCAACCTCCCAGTAGGGGGCGTGACGAAGCAGCTGATTAATGTCCCTGTCTTCTTCCTCTTTGTCTTAAAAAAAAAAAAATCAATTTAAAATGTGTATTAAACAATAAAAAATGTGTATTAAAAAATTATTTTCAAGTAAGGAGAAAGGGTAGTAAAGGTGTTTATGGAGGAATAGGAGCAACAACTGAATCAAGGCCCCAGAATACCCACCTTGTGAGATTCACAGAAGTCTCTTCACATGAGCCCATGAAGCTGGAGGGTAGACAGTGAGACTTGTGCACAGAAGGTACTTATCAGGGCCTACCTAATATTTCTCCTGACGGCTTTGTTATGGGAGACCATCTCCGAGAAGCAAGCAGCTGCTGCCCAGCCCTCACCCATGGGACCCACGTGCCTGTTTATTGGTGATCGTGTTTTTTAAGTCTCTGGTATATGCTTTGATGTGTGCAGAATTGTACCTCTCTTTTAAACTTACCTTTGTCTTACAGCAGCCAATAAGGAGGAGAAGGGGCGAGAGCTCATTTGACATTAACAACATTGTCATCCCAATGTCTGTTGCTGCAACAACCCGTGTAGAGAAACTGCAATACAAGGAAATCCTTACTCCCAGGTAGAGGCCCTAAATAAATCGGCTTCCCTCCTTATTCTTCTCGATACTGTCCTTTTTTCTTTGTCTCTTGTCACTGAGCTCTGGGTCCTAGCTTTGAGTTTTGTCTTCTCTTTAAGAGGAAGTTGTGTGTAACAGAAGTGAAATTATTTATTAGTTCTCTCTCATTCCATTATATAAGTCTAACCAGACTGCAGGCCACAAAGTGGTGATAGACATTATTTTGTTTGACACAACAATGTGTTTTAAAATACTGAATTTGTCATCAGCATCAAGGCAGGACTTCACGTATGAATCTTTATTTCTAGTTTTTGTTGATAAATCAGAAGATTGGGCGACTCTGTATATGCAATCCCATGTGGTGGTAATCTGCTGGTGCTGAATAGTGGTGGTCCCTTTGTTTTTGTCGGTCACGAAACCTCCCTCGGTTTTAGGCCCCTGTGAATACTGAGTGTGGGGCCTCTTTTAGAGGCCTCCAGGGCAAAGGAGGACAGCCTCTGAGAGGGCAGAGCCTGCCAGCAGAAAGCAGTGTCACTCGTAGGTGCATGGCTCTCATTCTTGCATGGACACATTTATCCTGCCCCAGCGACCTGCCATCTCATGATTGCCCCTTCTTGGTTTTGCAGCTGGCGGGAGGTCGATCTTCGGTCTCTGAAGGGGAATCCTGACGAAGAGAACGAGGAGGTAACGGCATGGCCCATTCTCCCTTAAAGAAGATACATACACATGGGTGCACACATCCAGACCTGTGGAATCGGTGCAAGCTCACATTCCTGTTTGATGGGGAAGAGTCTAGTGTGGGGTGGGGATGACTCTAGAATTGACCTACCCATACTTAAACTCGGCTTTCTGGAAGAAATGGTTGATCATTGAAGCTGCTCTATTGCAGATCGAGGACTTGTCTGATGCAGCCTTCGCCGCCCTGCATGCCAAATGTGAGGAGATGGAGAGGGCTAGGTGGCTGTGGACCACAAGCGTGCCACCCCAGCGGCGGGGCAGCAGGTGATGGGCGGGGATTGTGGGCCGTGTCCGTGGAATTGCCCCTGCCTCTCAGTTAGTTGCTTTTGCTCTTCTTCGTATTCATCCATTGGCAGTAGCCGAGAATACAGAATACAGTGAGAGTATGAGCAGTCAGGCTCTGGTCTCCTGAGAAGCAGGCTGGCTGGCATTCGGAGGCCTCACCACACGCTGTCCTTCCTTGGGACAGTGGAGCCTGGTTCTGTGGTCCACCTTATCTCCAGTTACTGTTCACAGTTGCAGAAGCCTTCGGGATTCTCAGTTAGAAGGATTTAGATTCAATTTTGCTTTTTCCTTCGACTATAGTTTTCAGAGTTTGAACTAATTTCCCTTCCCCTATGAATTCTAGGCATTGGGCAGGGCTTAGCTCTGGCATTGTTCAGCCCTGGCTTTCTCTTGGGATGACAGTTTTAGATGTCATATTGTGTAGCCACCTCTGTACTCGGCGGTGGGAGGACATGAAGGGATTTGCGGTTCCTGGGAAAGAACTGTTGGTGTGGGTCTGTCTTGGCTCCCTGGTGGACACTCGCTTTCCTGCTTCTACAGTCCCTCCCCTTTCCCCCCTCCCTCCCCCAACAATAATGTACTAGAAATTCCCTTTACTCAGGCACTCATATTTGCACTCCTTGGTGTACAGGTCTTACAGGTCATCAGACGGCCGGACAACCCCCCAGCTGGGCAGTGCCAACCCCTCCACCCCTCAACCCCCCTCTCCTGATGTCAGTAGTAGCCACTCTTTGTTGGAGTTCTCCCACGGTCAGTCCCCTAGGAGCCCCATCAGCCCAGAAGTGCACTCGGCCCCCCTCACCCCTGTGGCACGGGACACTCTGCGACACCTAGCCAGTGACGACACCCGTTGTTCCACGCCAGAGCTGGGGCTGGACGAGCAGGTAAGGGATGCTGCCTTTGCAGGGGTTGGCAGGTGGGGGTGAGATGAGGAAGGCATAGCACTGCCGAAGATGGGTCTTCATTTCATGACTCTCCCATTGTGAAGGGAGGAGGGGCTGCGCTTGAAATTGACCTTCTGAAGGCACAATGGAGCTGGCCATTGGTAAAAGGGCGCCCACTCTGTGAGGGGTCTTCCCACACCACCAGGAACTCCAGGGAGACTCCAGTCCTCACGTTTGGGGGCAGGAGGCAGCTGGTACTGGGTGCTCACCAAGGCAACTTGTCTGCCCACAGTCTGTCCAGCCATGGGAGCGGCGAACCTTCCCCCTGGCATACAGTCCCCAGGCAGAGTGTGAGGACCAACTGGATGCGCAGGAACGGGCGGCTCGCTGCACTCGGCGCACCTCAGGCAGCAAGACTGGTCGAGAGACAGAGCTGGCGCCCACCTCACCGCCCGTGGTCCCCCTCAAGAGTCGGCATCTAGCAGCAGCAGTCACAGCTCAGCGTCCAACTCACAGATGAGCGGGATACGAGAATCTAAAGACTCACTAACTATTGGCATTAAAGCTTCAGAAATCTCTGCGTTTGATATTCAAACATCATATGCCGGAAATTTTCACAGTTTTTAGTGAATTTAAGGAATTTAGATTCTACTTTTTTTTTTTTTTTTTTTTCCCCCTCATTTTGATTTTTGTTTTGTTTTGGTTTTGGTTTCCATGTTTTGTTGTCACACGCCTGAGCACTTCCTCCAGCTGGCAAACAGAAGGCCAGGATAAGCCCTGCCGCCTGGTCCTGGCACATCCTCTGCACTGTTGAATCACTGGACTTAGCGATGTTTGATGACCACCGCTCCCTCACACCTGTGGGCAGGGTGGGACAGCCAAGTGGGCAGAAGGAATGGAAAGCTCAAGCTCAGTTTTGCCACCTTAGGTCAGGGGGGAGAGCAGCTCGCTCTGGGCTCTCGCCTCCCCCCCGGTGGCTTGGCTCAGCACCGCCCTCCTGGCTGGGTCTCCCGTGGCCATCTGTGCCGGGGCACCGGCCACAGCCTCTTCTCCCTAACCGCCAGCGAGAGGGACTTCCCTGTCGTCCAGGTCGCGGAGACTGGTGTGGGTTTCCTCTGCATTTGGGCATCTCTGTTTGACTCCTAAACTGCAGTTAACCTGGCTGCGGCTGCTCAGGTCCCCGTCCTGCCCCTTCTGCCCTCCTGTCTGCTGCCCCATGCCATATTCATACCCACGCACACCAGTTCTTCCACTCGGGCTTTTTTACCCTGTCATGTCCCATGAAGCTAGAGTTAGGACTACTTAACCTCTGTTCCCACCTCTGCAAACTAGAGGTTGGGAAGTGAGCAGCCATTTCTCCTGTGTGATTCTGTTTTCTTCGGCTGATTCAGCCAGTCGTTTCCTTCCCCCTCCAGTTCCCTGTCAGTGTCAATTCAGCCCTTCCTCTCTTAAGTTTCCCTTTCCTGTGGAACATTGTCTGGTCCCAGCTGTGGTTCCCATCACTCCCCCGTGATCACTCCCTGGTTGTTAACCTTGTGCCTGTCTCATGTATGATCACATTACCAAAAGGGGCAATAAGGACTTTTTTTTTTCTCCCCATTTTGTAATCATATAAAAATAGTAAGCAAGCTGCTTAATGGTTGGGGTTTTTTCACAATTTTCAACATTAGTGATTCTTTTTGATTCTGTTTGCAAGTTTAAGGGTTTGTCATTGTTTCTTTAAAAAAACAATAATGCACCATATCCCTATGCATAAAGTGCTTCTTCTATTTATAAGGTTGAAAATTCTGAATAACCCTTTTAGCATTGTAAAAAAAAAAAAAAAAACAACAACAAAAAAACAAAAACAAAAATGGAAAAAAAAAAAACACCTTGTATTTTGTAAATATTTTCTTTTTCTGCTTTGAGCTGTGTATTGGCAGCGAAACATGTAGCTGTCTTTGTTCTATAGAAATGCTTTTCTTCAGAGAAGCTGATCTTTGTTAATGTCTTGATTCTGTTCGCAAAGCACAGACTAGTGCTTAAAAAAAAAAAGGAAGGAAAAAGTGAAAAAAATAATAAAAAAAAGTTACAGAATGTTGTGTGCCGGGCCTTCTTTGACACTTGAACATGGTATTGCTGCCCAGTTCTCTGTGTCCTAACTTGCAGTGGACTTTGGGGTGTCTTCATTCTGTCTTACAGCCACCTCGCAGGGTCATCATGTGACCACCAGAGAAAGAGCAGGGCCAACGAGAACATGTACTTTGCATGGAGCCTGAGCTGCTGCTTACCTGCTGTCTGAGGTTACAGTATCTTTGAGGAGGCTAGGTGCTTGATTTTCTGTATATAAAGATGAGTAAGCGGGCGGGCCTGGTACTTTATTGTTTTCTTTTTCCTTTTCACGGCATTCGAGTTAGAACAGCCAATGAGCTACCTATCCTGGTCGTGAAAGCAGCAGTTCCGAGGTTGCGTTTCTCTGTGGCTGCCCTGTTGCTGCTCCTATAGTTACAGTTAAGATCTCTCCTTAAGCTTCTGTCTGCAGTGGCTAAGGAAAAGCTGAGCAAAGCCATATTTTGAAACTTGGAAAATCTAAGGGCTCTGTGTTAAGACCTTGAACTGAACTTATTACTGAGAAACAATAAGACGATAGTTTTTCTGTTACTGTTTCCCTTTGTGACATTCCTAGGGGTTGGCTGGGATCCCTGTCTTAATTTAGCAGACCTGTTCCCCAATACTAGGAGGAAGGCAGCTCTGTAAGCCTGCAAGAGCTAAGCCATTCCTTCAGCTGATTGGCTGGTGTTCTGCTTCAGCCTTAGGCCTCGAGGCTAATTTCCAGGGAAGAAAACAGCTCATATACTAGCGGTCGGCAAACTCAGCCAACAGAGCCAGATATCCACAGTACAACGATTGAAACTTCTTTTGAGAGCTGAAAACCGACTTCTGCGCATGGGCCACGAAGTTTCAGTCGCACTGTATGTGTGTACCAGCACATGTGGAAGAGCCACCCTCAAGGGGCCAAAGAGCTACATGTGGCTCGAGAGCCGCAGTTTGCCGACCACTGTCAGATACCAACCCCAGTCTTTTCAGGTTTGAAATCACTAGAATTGGTCAGCCCCCAGGGTATTGACCAGTACTGTTGTGAGCACCAGAATGAGATAATTGGGCTGAAAATGAAAAGTTTGAGAATTGTTCTTTCACTTTTGGGGCCCTAATGAGAGCTGGTAAACCTTTTTGGCCCCATTGTTTTTTTGTTTTTTGTTTTTAAATATATTTTATTGATTTTTTACAGAGAGGAAGGAAGAGGGATAGTTAGAAACATCGGCTGCCTCTTGCACACCCCCTACTGAGGATGTGCCTGCAACCAAGGTACATGCCCTTGAAGTCATATTTTGAAACTTGGAAAATCTTAGGGCTGGAATCGAACCTGGGACCCTTGAGTCCACAGGTCGACCCTCTATCCACTGAGCCAAACCGGTTTTGGCATATTGCCCAGTTTTAACAACATTGCCTTTCCCTATTTGGAGCTAAGTTTTCCAAAGCAGAGAAAGGATTTGAAAATCATACATCCCATATCATTTGTCTTTTGAATTTATGCACGTAGACTTCATTTAATCAGTAATAACTTTATTTTCAAATTCACTTTTACAGCAACAGTCCTTGTATATCATTTGTTAAAACACACAATACACCATATGGACATTCACAGACAGGAAGCTAAGCTAAGATGGTTTCATGTCCCTCCCCTCCCACCCTCAAAATTACTGAAGAAATCATGGGACTTTGCCAGTGTCAGAAATTGTCCTGCCAGACACTGCACATTCACGGGCTAAGTCCATTAGGAGGTGAGGCTGGGTCAGTGCCCAGGATAACCCTTTTCAAAACTGCAGAGCAACTAGAAGTGTCCTGAAGCCACGGATCTACAGGTGGAACACACTGACCTCCACCTTGACCCTCATCCCTGCCTCTTGGCTTTCCTCGGGGGACGGCGAGAAAAGAGGGTGAAGGAAAAGATCTTGGCAGCTGCTGGACACGGGCTGTGTGTCCAGAGTCAGTGGGAAAAGTGACACACAGGTGCCCACGGCTTACAGGAAAGTTTGCCAAGGTCTGTGGGAGGCACGATTGTGGGCTTGGGGCCCGGCAAGAGACCAGATCCACCACACCTCCCGACTCCTCCACCAGCCTCACCGCCTGCACCTGGCCGGGAAAGGCAGGAAGGACGTGGGAAGCAGCTGGCAGCCACTGCACTCGGGAATCCGGTCAGTGAGAAGGCCGCACCCCCAGGACCTCTAGCAAATGCGGTTGGAGTGGTGAGGCAAAGGGTTACGGCGAGGTTTAACCACTGCACTCCACCACCTCCCCTCGCCCATGGTAACTACCGTACAGGTTCCTCCCCCCACCCCCCAGAGCACAACAAGCAATCGCAAACAGGATACAGTCTCACCACTGAAGTCAGTTTAAGCGGATCTATGGATAGAAGGGGGAGCTTGAAGGAGCCAGGCATCGAGCATTCCCAGGCCACCCAAGGGACATGGACTGGAGAGGGGGAATGGGGCGAACTCAGCCCTGGGGGATCGTCCTCATTTAAGGTCACAAGCCAGCACCCCTTTCCCTCTCCTCCCCAACACTGACCTGATCACCCTAAACCATGATTCTGGGGAGATCCCAGGGCCCTCGGAGTCAGGTGTCAGAGAACAAGGCCCGGGAGCTACAGGAAGAGGCGGCCAGGAGAGAGGCAGCACACGGTGGCAGTCAAGACGGGCCACATCGCTCACAGCTACCCGGCCTTTGAACCACATTTCCTTTTCCTTTCTCAGAACCCGGCGAGCAGCTGGGACTTGCAGGACAGCCGAAAGCTCTGACTGCAAAGGAAGCCTCCAGCCCAGCTGCCTTCAACTATCTACACCGGAAGTGGCAGGACCAGTCGTGAGGCTGAGTTTCTTTAAGCAGCCGTTTCCGCAGAGGCTGCTTCCCTTCCCCCGAGGCGGCAGGCGGAGTCCTGCAAGGTCCGAGGGGGCTCTGGCCAGGCTTCCGAATGGTGTCTCCGGCGCGGCATCCCTCCTCGGCCAGGCCGCTGTGCTGGTCAGGCCCGGGCCCTTCCCCAGCTGGCGCCGGCGGCATCTTCCCGATGACGCAGGGCTGCCTCGGGGCTTCTCGGGGCCGTGGCCAGGCCAGGGAGGGCGTCTTCACGCTGCAGGCCGAGCCAGCCCAAGACACAGCGCTGCCCCGCAAAGGGGAGCCCGGGGCGAGCAGGGGCACCAGCTTTCTTGGTCCTCATCCCTCGCCTCGGCCTACTCCAGCCGAGGGTGCCCCGGTGCCAGAATCTGTGCTCCGTCGGTCCCAGATGCTGAAGGAAACCTCTCTGGAGGCCAAGCCGGGGAGAGCCGCACTGGCCCGGAGTCCCAGCACAGGGGAAAGCTACCCAGGACCCCCGCTGGGTGGGTGAGAAACCTCCTTACAAGCATTTCAAGATACATGCGTCCTTTTTTTTTTTTTTTTTTTTTTCCTTTTTCTTTTCTTTTCACTATCATAGTCACTCGGGTGGATCCAAGCATAGACAGACAAACCGGACGACGACAGGTGCAGACGGGGAGGGAAAGGCGACATCTATGTATATGGTCAGCTGCTCCCGTGGACAGACAGCACTGCTTCCAGCTGGGACGGGAGAACCGTTTCTAAGTGGGCGAGCCCCCTGGTGAGGGGTGGAGGGCTGGCGATATGCAGGTGAGGCTGAGCGGTGTGGTGGCAGTCACAGGCTGGGGTGGATGTGAGGGACGGGGAACAGGGCCCTCCCCGGGCGCCTGCCTGTCCTGGTGCCATCTCTGACAACCAGCAAGCAATAGCTCGGTGCAGGAAGGGGCTGGTCTTCGGGGAGGAAAAGGCTCTCCAAGCCAACACCCAGGGTCATGGCTGAGCCCCAGCCTGGCCTTGCCAAGCCCCACGTCTGAATGGGAGGCCAGGTCATGGGGTTCGTCACGAGGGACAGGCCAGTTGGATGAGGGTGACATAGACCTAGAAACCGAGGTCCCGCCTTGGGCCCGGACTCTGCCTTCCCTTGATGTCACCCCCTGGTTAAGAGTAGGTGCCTCCCACGTCCAAACAAGGTGAATGACTGAGAAGGGGGTGGTGAGGCTGGGACTCGGGACAGTGTGACATAATGAGAGGTACAGGCAGTGACTGGGCTCCAGCCGGCAGACACAGGGTGTGGGGGAGGGGGAGCAGGCAGCTGGCTGCAGGGGGGTGGGAGGAGCAGGAGGCTCAGGACCCCTGCCCGGCCCCCCGCACACTCTGGAGATGCCAGCGGCCCAGGCTTGGGAACAGGCGGGTGTCCCACAAGAGGCACAGGTCCTTACAAGAGAACTGGTTAGCCCTAAAGTCCCAGATCAGTGAGGTGGCCAAAATCGAGGCTGCACTTCCAACCTTCAGAACACAACTGAGCAGAGTCTCTGTGGGGTGGAGGGAAGCCCCTCAGGTCAGGACCGCCCGCCCCGGCCCTGCAGGGGGGACAGTGGACTGGAGGCAACGTCTCTAAGGAAGTCACACACACCGCCTGCCACCCTCCTGCCAGCCAGCCTTCCCCTGCCAGGCAGGTGGGAGGGACTGGAGCCCTTTTCCAAGGGTGCCCTGCCCTGCCCTGCCCTGCCCTGCCCTGCGGGAGGCACACCCACCTGCACAGACCTGCCGCCAGCCGCAGGGGGCCCGGTGGAGGCTGTGTGCTCCCTGCTGCCCTCCCTTGGGGAGCAGGTCTCCTCTCCCTCATGCTCTTACTCCCCCTCCCTCTCCCGCTCCCCTGCCCACCCGCTGCCTCAGCCTCTCCTGTGCCCCCCCACCACCTGTCCAGCTCACACCAACATACCAAGTTGCAAATCCTTTGTTGCCGCCACAGCCTCTGTGACATCCCCAGGATGGGGCCAGAGGGCGCCCCCAGCCCCCTGAAAACCCCCAGAAGCACCTTTCAGAGCCTGACTTTCTTCCTCTTCTACTCAGAGGGGGGGAGAAAAAAAAGAATCAAACGGAATTGCCGAGGAAATGTTGGGTGTGGCCATCTTTCACGCATTTTTAAAAACATTTTATTATTCTCAGCCCACCCTTCAATTTGGAAAGATGGAATCGGCTCTTAATTCCCGTCACTGATTTTGAAGTCCCGAGCCAGAGCCGAGCGGCAAAAGCAGGTTCAGTGATTAACCAATAACCCGATCGATCGATCTGTGAGGAGCAGCTGGGGGGCAGAGGGCGAGGGGCCGGGTCATTACTCTTTTTTTTTCTCTCTCTCTCTCTCCACACACTCTCACTCTCTCCTCTCCACGGTCAGGGACCGCCCGGCGGCCTGATCACAAACCCTGCTTGGCCAGGGAGGCGGACACCTCGTCGGCGAGCGTGGCGAGCTGGGCCGAGTCCGCCATGTCGATGCTGCCCGTGGAGGACACGTTGCTGAGGTGCCGCGGGGACGTGTCCCCGGACACCGCGGGCGACTTGTACACGATCTCCGCCCCATGGTCCGTCTTGGCCTTGGCGTTCTCACGGAAGGTCAGCTTGTGGGTTTCGATCTGCGCGACGGGGGGGGGGGAGGCTGAGAGGAAGAGCTGGAGATGGGCACCAGCCCTGCCATTCTGGCCCCCTCCCCGGGGGAGGGGATGGGGGTGGGGGGAGGCCCGATGAAGTGGTAGTAGCTGTGGTTTCCTCACTCCCAATAGCAAACACCTGTGCCTCCTGCCTCCCGGTGGCCCTGTTCCGCTCTCCAAAGCCAGAGGCCATCCTAAGTGTCTTGGGGACCCTCACAGAGATACCCCCCCAGACGTTCGTGTGAACACGTAAAAAACGTGTGTGCCTATTTTAACACACATGTAACAGTAGGCGCTGTACTACGTTGGTTTGTAGACTTAAACCCTCTGCTGACGGCACTAGTTCCCTCGGGCTTGCCGATGGCCGCCTGGCATCCCACCCACCAGGACGGATGTGCCCACGTGTGCCTGCCCCCCCTGGGGGTGGGTATTTCAGCTGCTCCAGGCTTTTGCTGGGACAAAGCATGCTGTGTGTGGATAACCTTGGGTGACCTTGAACACATGGTTTTGTGCCGTGTGGGCGTGTCCTGCCAGTGGAGCTGCTGGCGGGTCCTAAGGCTGCACCTGCCGCCCAGTTTGCTGGAGGAGATCAAGGGGCGTCCCCAGAGCCACGGCTGCCCTGCCACGAGCCACGCGCGCCCTTCCCCTCTGCCAGCGACTAATGAGTCTGGAGGTGGCAGCAACGGAGGGCAGCACTGATGGGTGTGACAAAGCTAAGGTGACCAGATGTCCCGCAGCGTTTTAAAGCTGTTTTAAAACGCCGTGGGACAAGGGACAAATTGTTAAACATCGGGACGTCTGGTCACCTTAATAAAGCCCTTTTATAAACGTAGAGAAAGGACGGAATAGTCTGCAGCCCCAGAGGGCAGGGCACCGTGGTGCCTGGGAAACTCGGGGAGCGTCAGCCAGGGAGGCAAGCAGCACAGTGATTCCTGATGAGATGGGCACAGTGATTCTCAGCCTCTCTGGGGCCTAGGACCTCCCTGAGGGTCTGATAGGACCATAAAGACACACGGCGTTTCCTCATTCGATGTCAGGAGGCCGGGGCCCAGGGGAAGGGCCTCTATCGCATGGGCTTGCGTGTGGCTGGAGAGAGAGACTAAGCTTCCATCGGAGCCATACATGAGCTGATTTTGTTCATTTGGGCCACCGCTTTGACCCAAGGACCCTGCCATGTTTCTGTAGGTGAAGGGCCTTTGTCACATAAGTTTTTGATAAAATCATTCACGTTTTGTAAAAGCTTTGTTCTTGAGGAAAAAATGACAGGGTCCTAGTGATGTCCCCGAGCCCCCCAACTGAAGGGAACTCAGGCCAGACCCAGAGACCAGACCTGCCGGGCGGCCGAGGGCCTGGCCCCGCAGCCTCGCCGTGGACACGCCCGGGCGGCGGCCTGGCTGAAGCCACCGTTTTGCTCTAACTGCCCGGTGATCCATCTAGAAAGTGAGGTTTTGCCCCCTGACTTGTTTTTGGGGCCCTGGGCTGGCTTTGGGATGGCTGCTGCCCTCTGTGGCTGCTTGGCACCTGCGGGGCCTAGGACAGCGGCTCTCACATTTGCTCTAAAGCTGTGGTCGCCAAGCTTTCGGATCTCACCACGGACCAGGTTTTAAAACCTCCGGTGTCCAGACCACATCTGGGACCAGTCAGAAGCTCCAGGGTGGGGCCTGGCATCCAGTCCCATGGCGCCCCCAGGTGGCTGCTGAGGACCACATCGTGCCAGGCTCCGTGGGGCCTCCAGCTTCCTTCGCTGGAAGCCTGGGCCAGTCTCCCTCCCTGCCCCCCTGGGCCCTGCCCCCTTTACCTTTTTATTCCCGCCCCCAGGGACGTGGGTGATGTTATCCAGAGACCCGATCTTCGACTGGACCCTGTCCTTGAAGTCCAGCTTCTCGGATTTGACCTCCACCTGGCCGCCTCCTGGAACACAGCACACAGCGCGGGAGTGAGTGTGGTTTCTGCCACTCCCAGGAGCACCGGCCTCGGGGAGCACCGAGGACCCGCTTTCACTGAGGAAGCAGCTGGGGCACCGGTCAGTCCTTGTAAAGGCCTGGAAACAGTTTGCTGAATCTCTCTAATCAAGGTATGCGTCCAGCGTTTACTCAGGAAACTCTTCCTCCCGCCGAAACCGGTTTGGCTCAATGGATAGAGTGTCGGCTTGGGGACTGAAAGGTCCCGGGTTCGATTCCGGTCAAGGGCATGTACCTTGGTTGCAGGCATATCCCCAGTAGGGGGTGTGCAAGAAGCAGCTGATTGGTGACTCTCTCATTGATGTTTCTAACTCTCTATCTCTCTCTCTTCCTCTCTGTACAAAATCAATAAAATATATTAAAAACAAAAAAAGAAAGAAAGAAAGAAAACTCTTCCTCCTCAGATAAGGCGGAGGTAAGTGTCGGGGAGAAGGAGAAGTTACTCCCTCTCAGCTCTAAACCGGGTGGCTTCCAGAGAGGGAGGTGGTTCTGTGTCAACATCCTGGAAGCGGCAGCCCTACAAGCCCTTGGAATTAAACTGAAGGCAAAAGGCACCCAATAAAGAGGGCCTGGCCCTCCTGCCCCCTCAGACACCCGATGCCACCCACACCCAAGGGGAGACGCCGTCTGAGGGCGAGAGAGGGGACAGCTGACCCTTGAACAACTGCATGGGTCCACTTACAGGAAGATTTTTTTCTTTTTCTTTTTTTTTTCTTTTTAAAAAAATACATTTTATTGATTTTTCACAGAGAGGAAGAGAGAGGGATAGAGAGTTAGAAACATCGATGAGAGAGAATCATAGATCAGCTGCCTCTTGCACACCCCCTACTGGGGATGTGCCCGAAACCAAGGTACATGCCCTTGACCGGAATCGAACCCGGGACCTTTCAGTCCACAGGCCGACGCTCTATCCACTGAGCCAAACTGGTTTCGGCACACGAAAATTTTTTTCAATAAATATTGTATCCCTTATGAATTTATTTGAAGCGCTTTCTTTTCTCTAGTTTACTTCATTGTAGTCATGCGATAATTTAATACAGAGGACATGCATAACATGTACTAACTGCATGTGTTTGACTACACAGTGGTTGGCACCGACCCCCCCATGTAGTTCAAGGGTCAACTAGACGTAATTACTTGCTTGGGTAGGACAAAGCCACCCAAGAAAGCTGCTCCCAGGGGGGTGACACCAGTGTGGGTAGTTTTCCCTGGGAGGGAAACTCGCACAAAATGTCTCGGGGAGCCCGAAAACAAGGGGACATTCTGCACCAGGCTTCTGACAGCCTCTGCCCACAGGGCTGGCTCCGTGGGGATCTCTGGCCACGGCAGAGTCCCACTCGGACCAGGCGGGAGCTGGGATCTAGCACTGGGTTGTGTTGTCCAATGCGGTAACCACCAGCCACACGGCCACTTACATTTGTGGGTTTTTAATTGAATTTATTGGGCTGACATTGGTTCAGAAAACCATACAGGTTTCAAGTGCACACTGCATTGTGTGCTCATCGCCCAAATGAAGTCTCTTTGTTCACATTTGTAACCTCCTCCCCAGCTTTGCCCACTTCCGCCTCCCCGCCCTTTCCCTCTGGCTATCACTGTTGTCTGTCTGTGTGTTGTCTATTCTAGAAGCCCGGTGCATGAAATCGTGCACGGGTAGGGTCCCTACTGGCTGGGGAGGGGGCCTCCCTTCCCCCCAGCACCTGCCCCATTGCCAAACGCCCACCATGTTTCGCACCAGCCCCTGGTGGACGGTGCACACTCAACTCCCAGTTGGTTGATCTCCTGCCTGTAGGGACAATTTACATATTGGCCTTTTATTATTTCTATATATTAGTGTGTGTGTGTTTGTGTATGTATATGTATGTGTGTGTGTGTGTGTGTATTTATATATATATATATGTATATATATATGTATATATATATATATGTATATATATATATATATATTTTTTTACTTAACCCCTTCACTTTTTTTCATCCAGTCCTCTCCAACCCCCTCCTCTGACAGCTGTCAGGCTGTTCCATGTATCTCTGCCTGTTTCTATGTTGTTTGTTAAATTCTTTTGCTCTTTAGAGTTCATATGTACCTATTTTTCGGACCATAAGACGCACTTTTTTCCCCCCAGAAGTGGGGGGGAAAAGTCCCTGCGTCTTATGGTCCAAATATAGCCTACACATATACTTTTAAAAAAAAGTTTTTTTACTTGCCCGGCTCTGTGTGGTCTCTGTGTGCTTGCCTGGCTCTAAAATGGTTCTAAATGCTGCTGTTTACTTTACAGGGTTGATTACATGTGTTTATGACTGTGATGTTGGGTTTTAATGCACATAAAATATTTTAGGACACTATTTGTTTCAGAATCTTTTTTTCTTCATTTCCCTTCTCTAAAAACTGGTGCGTCTTATGGTCCGGTGCGTCTTATGGTCCGAAAAATACGGTAAGTGAAATCACATGGTATTTGTCTTTCTCTGGCTTATTTCCCTTAGCATAATGCTCTCCAGGTCCATCCATATTGTTGCAAAGGGTAAGAGTTCCTTCTTCTTTATGGCTGAGTACTATTCCATCATGCTAATGTACTTTTAAATTCTAATAAAATTCAGCTCTTCAACTGCCCTAGCCATGTTTCATATGCTCAACAGCCACACATGGCCAGTGGCCTTGGCATTGGACATCACAGGTGTGTGACATTTGCAGCATCTCAACAAGCTCTATGGATCTCACTGTCTTTTGGAGGGGAAGAGGGAAGGGGAGGATAGTAAAGTGCCAACAGTATCATTTTCTGTTCAAACCAAGTCACAGAGGGCGCACAACAATGGGCCAGTTTGTGCAGTTAGTGACGTGTCCCTAAGCTGGGACATCCATAGAGCCAAGCTTCAGGGTCAGGCCAGGCCCCCCACAGCTCCTGAGGCCCCACGTGCAGCCTGTGTGGAGCACCTGGAGCCAGGGGCTAGGGCACATGTGTCAAACACAAGGCCCTCGGGCCAAATCCGTCCCGCCAGGCCTTGCAATGTGGCCCGCACCGCGCTGTCATCACTGCACTCCGCTGCGTTTCCATCACAATGACAGTTTATGACTGTTCAGTAAACCATTCGGCCCTCGATTTAGGCTGAATTTTAGATTTTGGCCCCTTCTCTGATTGAGTTTGACACCCCTAGGCTAGGGTGTAGGATCAGCATCTGCCCCCCTGCTCAGGAATGAGACAGGACAGCCCCTCCACCCTCAACACTCTCTCACCATGGCCCAGCCCGTCGCTGCTTCCCAGCCCCCTCGGGAGCAGGCACCACCCAGCCCAGAACGCCCCCACAATGCCCCAGAACACCCCGCCCTGCCCCAGGCCCTGCCCCGAGCTCGCCGAGGCTACCTGGCTTGTGATGGATGTTGCCTAATGAGCCACACTTGGAGGTCACCTTGCTCAGGTCCACAGGCTTGTAGACTATTTGCACCTGGAGGGGAGAGGGGCGGGCAGAGAACAAACAGGATTATTTGCGGATGGAGCGCGGGAAGAAGCAGCTGTGTAAGCCGGGCCTGACTGGACCAGGCGTCCTGTCTGTCCGAGGCACACACCCAGCCCAGGTGGAGACGCCGGGTGGGAATTCTGCCAACCCTGCCCCCCTGGGAGCCGGGTCTGCACCGGTGACTGGGGGACAAGGACCCTTGGGGAAAGCAGGGCCCTTCGTCTCTGTCCCTGTGCAGGGCCCGTGCCATTTGCTTAGCAGACACACAGAGCAGTCACCACACAGACATCACAGTCAGGGACGACACAGATGGGGCCAGCGCCCCCGTGTGCGGCACTGGAAAAGCGGAGAGCGTGTCTGCTGGGCCTCAGAGAGGAGAGGGCCCCGAGGTGGAGAGGGGCCTCTGTCCCAGGAGAAGCTTCCAGAAACCCAGCACCCCCACAGCAAGGGCAATGCCAGTCCGTGAGCAGCACCCAGAGCCGTGGGGAGACTGGGAGAGCCCGTGGGCGCCTGAGTGTCCTAGAGAATGACACCGGCAGGGGGACAGGCGGCCCAGCAGACACCCCAGGGTCAGTGACACAGAGAGCAGACGCCCGCCCGCCTGAGGCCCAGGGCTTCCCCTTGGCCCCGGTCACCCTGACATCCCCCAAGGGGGACGGCGGCCCTGCACTGCCCCCTCATCTCAGCCCAAGAACCGGCTCTCCTGAGGGGGCTCCCCACGACGCCATGGCTGTGAGGGGACCCCAGCCGGTCACGGAGGGACTCTTGACAGCAGTGAGCTTGTGTGAGGTCACCAGAGGGTGCTCCTGCCAGGAGGAGGCTCCCTGAAGGAGATGGCCTCCTGCCTGGGAATGGCTTTAACCGGGGAAAAAGGAGAGGTTTCTCCTTAGGATCAACTGGAACAACCCCAGAATCACCCGGCGCATGCCCTTGGTCAGCGGGGGGTTGATCGAGGCCGACAGGCAGGGAGTGCGGCGGGGGGCGGGGGGCACAGGGCCGGCAGCCGGCACCCGGGGGGTGTGGGGGTGATGAAGGATTCTGAGAACAGGCCTGGGAGGGAGCGGGGCTCTGGGCAGGCCCCCGGGAGGCAGTCAAGGAGCTTTGGGGACTCGCCCCGGCGGGGGGGACGTGGGAGGGACGGGGTGACCCCGGCTTCCTGCTCTTCCCTGCAGCCTGGTCAGGCAGCCCCTCCAGACCGGAGAGCGGAGGGCAGGCCAGAGGCCGGAGCCCAGGCTGGGGGCCCGTGGCCCCGAATCACCTGAGGCTGAGCTTGTGCAGCCTCCTCCCTCCGGACGAGCTGTCTTCGAGGGCTCCTCCTGCAAACAGGCCTCAGGCGGGCCCAGCACAGGGCCTGGCCAGCCGGGCCGCCCTCGGCTCTGCTGGGTCACAGGCTGACCACAGGCCCGCGGGGAGTGCGGGACAGCCAGGGGGCGCCCTGAGGGAGTTCCCCGATGTTCTGTGACTTCAGGCAGCAGTGACGTACCCTCTCCTCCCCACCCCCCTGCAGGACCCCGGCTCACCCCCTGCAGGACCTCCCACCAGCTGACCAGACACGAGTTAAATCGGAAAGCAGTGCCTCTTCCTCTGGTCGAGAGCAGTTTGCAGCAAAGCCCGAGAGCCGGGAGGCAGAGCTAAAGCAGCAATGTGACCGGGCCAGGCGGGGTGGGTGGCGGGGCAGGGGAGCAGGGGTTGGGAGACAGCAGCTGGTGAGGAAGCGATCAGGAGCGCCATGCAGCAGCCGCGTGGTGAGCCTGGTGAGCGCCCATCCCGGGCAGCGGGGCTGGGCAGAGCGCAGGGCGGGGGCAGCGGCACATTGCAAGAATAAACCCTCGGCTGGATCCAGGAGAGGGGCGGCCCAGCCTGGCGTTTTCTGGAGAGAGAGCCCTGGGGGCGTTGCTGCCATCCTCGGCTGCCAGCCAGGAGCGGGAGCCTGCTCTCAGGAACCTCGTCTCCCCGGAGCGAGCGGACCTCAGGGGGCTCGAACCTCCTGCTCCCTGCTAGGGGCAGTGGGGGAGCCTCGGGGTGAGGGTTTGCACCCACAAAGGACAGCCGGGAGGGCAGCAGCAGAGGGTGCAGCCCCAGGTCCCGGGGACACATGCAGTGAGGGTGCATTTAAAGGGGCCCAGAGCAAATACGATAAAGAACCAACGGGGCTGCAGGGGGTCCCCTGGGGCAGGGCACTCTGCATCTGAGCCTCTGCAGGGGGCGGGGCTGGTTTGAACAGGAGCCAGAGGCTGAGGCACGCCCCCCCCCCGCCCAGACAAATGGGACCAGAGACCGGGCGTGCCTTGCTCTGAGGCAGAACAGCACGACCTTTGTCCCCTTGTCAGAAGCGGGCCAGCTGTCCACAGGGAAACCCTCCACGTGGGCCTGTCCGGGTGACGGGGAGGGGCTGGCTGCGGGGCTCCGGGAGCCTGTGGGGGCGGTGAGGGGGTCACGGGGGGGGGGTCGCGTGAAGGCTGTGAGGACCCCACACCCAGGTACGGGCCAGGGAAGGACCAGCCGCCTTCCCTAAGCTGCGGGTGCAGGCCGGCACCCCCGGGCGCTGGGCACCCTCCGGGGCCTGGGCCGGAGCCCGAGGACGGTTTATTCTGTGCAATGGCCCCCGGGGGCACACACACGCCACTCGGCCAGCACCAGCCCCCGGGCGCGGGGGACGTGTGAGGTACTCACACTGCCGCCTCCGGGCACGTGTTTGATATTATCCTTTGAGCCACACTTGGACTGGACGTTGCTAAGATCCAGCTTCTTATTAATTATCTGCACCTTGGACAGCCAGAAAGAAGGATGAGTGACACCCCCAGCTCACCGGCTCTGCACGGAGGACCCCGAGGGTGGGTGGGGGGGCGCCAGGCGGCGCCCGGGAAGGCACTGCCCAGCCGGCTGACCTGGGGGGCCCCCCCACAGCTCGGGGCCCACAGACAGCGCCACCCGGAGGCAGCCCTTCGCCCACACGGCGTGGCCACGGAGGCCCTGCGCTCACACGGTCGGGGGGAATGAAATGTGCTCACTTGTGTTTTCATTTCAATCCTCACCCGAGGACTTGCTTAGAGAGAGGAAGGGGGAGAGACAGGGGAACACCGATCGGCGGCCCTGTATGTGCCCTGACCTCGAATCGAATGGGCAGCTTTCCCACCCACAGGACGATGCTCCACCAACGAGCCCCCGGCCCCCGGCCAGGCCCACTCAGGCTATTAAATGAACAAACAGGGTCCCTCTGGGCCCTCACGCACACCCCTCGGGCCCGTCAGAACCTTCCAGAGACCCTGCTGTGGCTGTTCTCACGCTTGTCAGGCGATGGGCTCACCTGCGGGCATTTCAGAAAACCCCGCACCTGCCACCACCTGGAATTAGGGCCTCTGCCAAGCGCGTGGTGCTGCCTGTGGGCCTGGGCCGAGGCCCTGGGGACAACGCGGACTCTGCCCAGAAGGCGGGTGAGTGCTGCCCTCAGCCATCGGCACCTGGGGGGGCACAGGGACCGGGAGAGGGGCCCAGTGTCCCCGCTCGGCCCCTGAGCAGGCGTGGCCCTGGCGATGGCGGTCCCACTGCCGTCCCATGAGGCTCGGGGTGGGATGGCGACATCCTCGTGGGGAATGATTGGGACCCAATTTGCCTAAAAACCACGAACCACGCAGACAAGCACGGCCCAGAGGAGGCGCGGCTGGGTGAGGGCGCCCTCGGCCGCAGGTGTCTCCCCTCAGCCACGCCGAGGGGCCGCGAGGATATAAAAGGAGCCGCACGCCGCTCCCCCTTCACAACCAGCATCGGCCGCTGAGCCAGGCGCAGGCCTGGGTGCAGGCTCCGCCCTCCATCCGCGTACGGGGAGGGGGGGGGGGCAGCCGGTCAACGATGCTCTCTCCTTATGGCTGTTTCTCTCTCTCCCTTTTCTCTCTCAAAAAAAAAAAAAAAAAAATTTTTAAAGAAAGAACCAGCCGAAACCGGTTTGGCTCAGTGGTAGAGCGTCGGTCTGCGGACTGAAAGGTCCCGGGTTCGATTCTGGTCAGGGGCATGTACATTGGTTGCAGGCACATCCTCGGTGGGGGGTGTGCAGGAGGCGGCTGGTGGATGTTTCTCTCTCATCAACGTTTCTGGCTCTCTCTCCCTTCCTCTGTAAAAAATCAATAATATATATATATATAATATATAAAAAAAAGAAAGAACCAGCATGACTCTCTGAAGTCCTGAAAACAGCCCTGAGACCTCCTCAGTGCTGCTTTTGGGAACAATGGCTGGGGCCAGGGTTAGTAGGGTGGCTGGGGTTCGGGGCCCTGGCTGGGGCTGCTGCCCGGAGGCCAGGGTTGGGGGTGCTGTGGCTGGGGGTCGGGCCCTGGCCGGGCTCGTTTCTGGGGGGGAAGGAGCCCACACCGGCCGCCCAGGGGTCCCCAGGTCCCCAGCAAAACGAAGAACTGAGGATCTGATAGCGAAATTGTCCTTCCTACTTTTGGGTGTTAAAATGGCCTTTCCTTTATTAGGTTATTAACCCTTCCATCACACTGATAGGTATTTTTAGATGTCCTTTCCCTGGCTGTGTGAACAGACAGCAGTCTTCTGAAGGCCAGCACCCCAGCCGCCTCCTTCAGCCTGAACCTCACCCCCTGGGAAACATATGGAGCCCACCTCTTCACGCTCTTACGGTGCCTCCCCATGAGAGCTGTGCCCTGGCTGTCCGGCCCGGCCGGCTGAGCCTTGTCCCGTGCCCCGGGAGGTCCCGGTTCGAGGGTTCAATTCCTGGCCAGGGCGCCCCAGGTCCCCGGAAAGCAGGGAGGGGGGTTGTGTGCAGGAGGGAGGCAGCCAACCAATGTTACTCTCCTTTCCCTCTCTCTCTCAAATCAGAAAAAACATATATTTTGAAAAGCTATGTACTTTTTCCGTTAGAAAAATACCAGAACATGGTGACTTTGAAAACGGGGGTTAAAAACGCAGGTTTCCTTGCATCCCCGGGAAGTCTCCTGTGGACCCAACTACCACCACGTGCGGGGAAGGGCGGCCATGAGCCGCCACACGTGTTACAGCTTGTTTCTCACCAAGTAACGTGCCCCCGGCACCTGTGCTCTCGGGCGTTTATATTGATTCCATTTTCAAGAACATCAACAGCAGCTTCCCCGTGAGCACCTTCCTGCAGGGAGCTTCTCCCTGTTTCGGGTTATTTCCGAAGCACGGGGTCCCAGAGGCAGGCTTTCTAGGCCGCAGTGATAAATAAATGCTCCCCACACCTCCCAATGGCTTTCTGAGGACGGGTCGGTTTCCCGGAGAGCGCTGTGCAGGGGGCCCGCCGGAGAGCTGCCCGATGGTACTGGGCGTTCAGAAACGCGTTGTGTTTGTTCCCTTGACTAACAGAGGGCACTGCCTCGCTGGCTTCCTCTGCGAGTCTTTGATGGCTCCTAACATGGCTCCTTTGCCCCCTTTTGCTAGTAGGTGTGTCTCTTTCTAACAGACGCCTGTTCAGCCTCTTTCTTTGTAACGTCTCCCTTGTTTTTTAAATGTGAAAACCGCCCCCTCCGTTAGCGGTTGGATGACTGTCCAATGCCACGACCCCTTTCTCGCCACCTTCCTTTACGGGTGAGGAGCTGGCCAGAGCCCAAGGCGGTTCAGCGACTTTCTCCAGCCGGTGCTGAGCTGCACGGGAATCTGGGTCTGGGTGTGTCTGTGGCCGCAGGCGACAGAGGTGACGGCCGTGTTTGGCCTGAGCTGTCAGTCCTCAGGGCTGTAGTGTCGTAAGTCAAATAGAACAGCACTCTCCCCGGGAACACCGCGTTCTCTCTCTGGAGCGGGGAGGCGTGGGGACCCAGCCTTAGCCGGCGGGAGTGGAAGGCAGGGTGAGGGATGGGCTTTCTAAGCTGCTGCCGAAGGAGCTGCTGTCGTCTCAGCTCTGTGCCTTTGAATCAATGTGTGCCGCCCTCGGATCTGAAGGAGTCTCCCTTGAGCTTCCTCCTTGGGAATCATTTTTATTTACAACTTCCAACTGGATAAGTCTCAGAGGGAGAATAGTCTACTTTCCCTAAGAGCAGTTTAGAATTAGAAAACACACACACACAGTAATAAAACAAGAAAATGTAGAGGATAATGAAAAGAGAACAGGTGCCATTGGCACTGACAATTACAAGACAGATTATTACACCCTGGCCAGGTAGCTCAGTTAGAGCTTCGTCTCTATATGTCAAGGTTGCCTGATCTCTGGTCAGGGCACATTCAAGAATCAACCAATGACTTGCATAAACAAATCGATGTCATTCTCTCTCTCTCTTCCTCTCAAAAAAGTAAAATCGTTAAACACACACACACACATAAACAAGATGGTTCATTACATTTAACTCTGAGCTTCCAGGAAGCCAAGGTAAAAAGGCAAACGAGATGGGTTACATAACTCCTCTTCTCTGACAAATAAAACTTAACCAGTTTTGCAAGGAAAATAACCTGTGTTCTGTAAAATCCACACAAGAAATTCATCAAACAATTCGAGTTCATTAAGTAATAACATAACACACAGAAATTTTCCCTCCAGTGTGAATTCCTTTTTCCAGTCCCACAAAAAAGACAACAAGCTCTCAGTAGCCCTTTTATGGGGTTTGGAAATAGACAAAAGAACATGCACAAAGCAGACACAAACTACCGTTAGTCATCCAGTGAAGCCAACACCCTTGGCAGAATGTCAGGCTTACAGAAAGGAGGGGAAAAGGGTAACTTTTGGCATTCTGAAGTTGGAATCCTGAGACAGTTTCTCCTCTGGAGTACCGTGTGTGATACCGAGCCTCAGGTCTGGCCGGACACTGAACACACCCATCACGGGGAAGAACAATGTTTTGGAAGCTCCAAATAGTAGTCTGGAGACTCCTCGTCAGGCCAGAAATTCCTGTGGCCAGGGTTTGGCCCTGGGGAGAGGGTGGGGTGAGGTGGGCGGGTCCACTTTGCTTTAATCTACTTCCTGGAGGGAAGTCCCAAGCCTGCCTTAGACCTTGAACTTGTTCCGTTTGCGCTAAGATTGCTCCAGGTACTCCAGGTGGCCCAGCCCTCCCCCAGAAGCTCCCTGCTGGCCCCTTGTCCTGGCTGTCCCTGCGAGGCCTGCCCCAGCACTGCCCCCAGCACTGCCCCAGGCTTGCTGGGCGACCTCCCCTCACGAGGCTCAAGAGGCCCAGGGCTGAGGATTGGGAGTGGGATGGATGTTCTGGTGGGAAAGGCTAGGCCGCAGCCCGAGAACTGACACGGAAACACAGTTTATCTAGGTCCTGTTAAGTCAACCAGCCAGAGAAGAAGGCCAATAACAGGGAAGTCGCCTGTAGAATTGTTTACACTGTTCCTTTAAACAGTGACTGCCCCACGCTTCTTTAAAATGATTTGCACAAGATTTTTTTCCACAAACACAGGTGCTGTGCCCAGGGAGGGTCCCAGCCCGGCTCTGCGCGGGCCCGACACCTTAGCCCAGGTTCCCCCGCGTCCAGGACAGGCAAACGTTCACTTCACTCCACCGAAATTTCGTCACCTGTGCTTTTTAAAATAAGAGCTGGGACTGTGTCAACAAATGAATCTAGAAATACTTCCTGAAGCGAGACAGATGCTGACAGCGCTCCACCGCCATCTTGTGGCCGCTGGAAACATTGCAGCCCAGGTCGCTCCCAGCCTGAGCCCTGGCAGCAGATTCCTGTCCTTCCAGGGCTCCTAGGCCCTGTCCAGCCTGGGCCTCTGCATTCCAGCCACGGGCCAGGGCCCCCTCCGGAGAAGTGACGTTAGCTCTGTCTGCTCGGAGCCAACCAGGCCACCCCCGTGCTTGGGCCTGGGGCTTTGACCCTGCCATCCCTGCTCACCCTTGGCAGCCACAGAACCAGGCAGCCTTGGCGCCAAGTGCACCTTCTCTCTGACCCTGGACGGCCGCGGGACCCCTGCGCTTCCTGCTGTGCCCCCACTGACCACACAGAGGGGCGGCTGAGGCTGGTGTTGCCCCATCTCCCCTCGCATTCAACCCTGACGGCCTGACAGCTGAGCCTGGGCTCTCTGCCGCGGGTCCCTCCAGCTCCCTCCCTTCCGCATCCTGGCGAGAGGACAGGGCCCTGCCGGCCAGGGCAGACCTCCTCCAGCAGCTGGCCACTCTCTCGGCTCCTGTGGGAGCGAACAGAGCCTAAGACCCCGCTCCCCTGCCCCCCAGCTCTGACTGTATTTTGCTGCTTCTCTGAACATCTCCACGTGCGGTTCCCCACGGCCCTCTTCCCGCCCAGGCCCAGCACTCTGAAGGGGGATGGGGGAGCTGTCCTGGTCCAATCCAGGGTCTGCCCTGGTTGGCTTCTCTGAGCTGTTGGTAACACACGAGACTGCGGATGACACTCCACAACACGTGTGGGGGCCCCTCGATGGTGTGGGCTGCCCCCGCCCCCCCCCCCCCCCCCCCCGCATCCTTGGCCAACCTCTCCGCTCCCTTTGTGTGTCCCTCCCCGGGCCTGGGCCTGGGGGCAGGAACTCAGCACAGGGCCTGACACTCAGAGGTGCCCCAGAAATGTTAGATGAATGACACAGGGAGGTAGGAACCAGCTTCTGATTGCCGCCTGCGTGCTCTCTCTCACCAGGATGTAAGGCTGCCAATTCACCAATTCACATTGTTCGCTGGCAGCGAGTAGCTTTTTTTTTTTTTAAAAAAAGTTTACATTTTAAAAATGTTTTAAAAATAATTTTAGAGAGGAAGGGAGCAAGAGAGAAGCATGGGTTTGCTGTTTCCGTTATGCGTTCGTTGGTTGATTCTTGCTCGTGGCCTGACTGGGGACAGAACCTGCGACCTCGGGGTATCGGAATGACACTAACGAGCTGAGCTACCCAGCTGGGCCTCCTTTTAAACTCTGGTCCTCTGCCTCCGTGGCTGAACTCCCCTGCTCCCCTCACAGAGAGTGAGGCTCAGACAGACTCCTGGGGAGGGAGGTGCAAGACAGGGGGGGTGGCCTGGCTGGGGGACCCGGGGTCTTAGCCTGGACTACACGTCGGAACACCTGGGAGCCCCCTGAGGTTCTCACGAACCCGGGAAAGGCTCCGGCTTTGTCAGGATTTGTAAGAGGACCCCCTCCCCCGCCCCAGGTGATCCTCCTTGGCAGCGGGTGGGGAGGAGAGCTCCCGGCTCCCGAGGACCCGCAGCTGCAGCCTTGCCGGCCTCGGCTCCATCTGTCTCTGGCTCTGTGGAGGGAACAAGTGGTGCTTCCGCACTCTCAAAGCTAAGAATTCCGTTTTGGACTCTGCAAGCTCCGCCCCATCATTGCAGCCAACGACAAAAGCAGGAAGGCCCAGGTTCTCGGTCTGCAGGTTGCCAGGCCGGCTGCTCTCCCTTCGTCCTGGGCCTCCATCCAGGGAGCGGGCGCCCCTTAGCTGAGTGCACGGCCCACACACCCACACATCCACACAGCGGGCTCCGCACCGGCCACAGCCCACGAAGGCCTGAGCGTCGCCTCCAGGAGCCGCCGGCCCAGGCCAGACGGAGGACAGGGCTGGCTTTACGAGCCTTCTCCATGGACGCGAGCAGCTCCCTTCCCCGTTCCCAGCCCCGGAGACTGAGGCAGTGCTCTCGGCAGCGGTGGCATTGCCTGTCTTTGGTTCAGACAATGGTCTGGGTTTTCTATGGGATCAAGGACGGCTGTCGCCCCTCCCTCTGCGCTTTCCCACTCCTCCCGCCCTGAGAGGCCCTACGAAAGGTCCCCATTCTCCGTCCGCCAGGGGAGAAGGGCATGTGGGGCCCCTTCCCTTCCCCTCTGAGCCTCAGGCCCGGCCCGGCTCCCAGCCTCCTCTCCCTGCCAGTCCCCTCCACCAGCCCTGCCACTCAGCGGAGCTGCCAGAACTGGGCCAAAGGTGCCCAGCCCTTCCAAGCCAACCTCAGCTGACCCTGGGGTGGCGGGAGGACACGGGGTGTCGCTGGTGTGTGACAGCCCCGCAGGCTGTGAGCCTCAGGGCTCCGGTCCCTCCGGGCGGCTGGTCACAGCTGCAGAGTCTTCCCCAGGTGCAAACTGGCAGTGGTGGTAAGGGGGGTGGTGGTGGAAGGGCTGCTTCTCATTTTTCAAAACGGGCAAACGGTCCCCCTGCTATGAAAACAGAGGGACCCCGGCAGGAGGGTCCCACCGTCTTACAGACCAAGTCCCTGGAGCCCCCTCCGCCCCTAAACCTCGCAGGAGGGCCAGCCTCAGAGCGGCACCCTCAGCTGTCTCCGCCTTCCGGGAGGAGGCTGACCGCACGGCAGTGAACGCGGCCCAGGGCCTCCCTGGGGTCCAAGGAGAGGCGCCTGGCCCCGCCGGCCGGCAGGGCAGGCCCCGGCTGGGACGGGCCCGCGGGGTTTCGGTGAGGCACCCTCACGGGCCTCCGAGAGGCCCTCCTCCAGGGACGCCCAGGGCCCGGCCCGGAGTCATAAACGAAGTCAACGGTGCGAGGGCGCCGCGGGGGGAGCCCAGCTGTCCCGCCGGGAAGGTCTGTAAGGCGCCCGGCCTCCAGGAGGCTCACCGCCCCCAGAGGCCCAGCCCAAAGCCCATCACACACCCGTGGCCTCCAGAGCAGAGCCTTGGTCCTCAGCTCCCCACACCCCCCTCTTCTCCGTCCCCGTGCCCCCTGTGGTGGGCAGGGAGGGCGGCCCTGTGTGCCCACCATGCACACGCTCAGGCCCTCGCCCCCAGGCCTGCCACGCGGGTGGTTCTGTGAGAGCAGCTCCTCAGGGGAGCCCTCCCCTCCCTGCCGGTGTGCCGACAGGGGAGGGGAAGGAGGGGGCGGCCGGTGTGCTGACAGGGGAGGGGAAGGGAGGGGGTGGCCGGGGGGAGGCCGAGCGGGAGCACGCGAGGAGGGAGTGCGGTCTCCAGTCCAGGAGGGAGGCCTTGGCCGTCCCCTCCTCGGGCTCCGGCCTCTGGCCCTGGCGCTGGGAGGAGACGGTCCCCAGCGTGGCATTTCCCGGGCCAGGCCCAGGAAACATGGGGGGCGGGGGACAGGGACAAGAGGAGGACGGCAGGGCCCAGGCCAGCCTCTTCTCCCTCCACCCCAGCCCCTCGATTGCTCACGGCCCCCGGCCCCCACCTTTAGGGAACCCCAACATTCCACGAGCGCCCACCTGCCCCTGGAAGAAGAATCCGCTCAGAATGGAACCCAGACTGCCCCAGAGCTGGAGGCAGAGAGAAGCCTGACCCAAGCGAACGTCCCACAAACGCCGGCCACCCCCCTACCGACCAGCTGCGTCACTCCCACCCGGGGCAGGCCTCTGGGCACCCCACTTCGCGGGCCCCCGGGCCACAGAGAGCCACTGTCCTCTGGCGAGCCGGGGCTGACACGGGGGGGAGAACCGGCCCTTTCTCTCCCCCGCGCAGGCCCTTGTGGCTTCGCGGTGACCCCAGTGTCCTTCGGGGGGAGCGGGTGACCCCAGTGTCCTTCGGGGGGAGCGGGTGACCCCAGTGTCTTTCTGGGGGAGCGGGTGACCCCAGTGTCCTTCGGGGGGAGCGGGTGACCCCAGTGTCTTTCGGGGGGGGGGGTGCCCCGTGAGGGGCAGGCGGCCCCGCAGCCCTTACCTTCCCGCCGCCCGGCTGGTGCTTCAGGTTCTCGGTGGAGCCGATCTTGGAGCGGACGTTCTTGAGGTCGGGCATGGGCACCGGGGCGGTCTGCAGGCGGCTCTTGGCGGAGGACGGCGACTTGGGCGGCGTGCGGACCACGGCCACCTTCTTGGGCTCCCGGGTGGGCGGGGTGGGCAGGGACGGGGTGCGGGAGCGGCTGCCGGGGGTGCCCGGGGAGCCGGGGCTGCTGTAGCCGCTGCGATCCCCCGACTTCCCAGGTTCGCCTGGAAGAGAGGGGGAGTGAGGCCGGAGCTCGGTCCCGGGGCCGTGGCCGGCTGGGGCGGCCTCAGGCAGGTGGAGAGGCCGGGAGCTCGGCAGGCCTCCCCGGAGCTCACCACCTCCTTCCTGCCTGGCCTGTCGCTGGGGCGGGAGACAGTACCCTTCCCGGTGGGATCCAGCCGGCTGCGTGGTCTCCGACAAGCCCGTGGTTGCCTCACACCCAGCACAGGGATCAGCCCACCGCGAGGAGCCGGGCGGCCATGTGTGTGCAGGCGTGGGACCTGTGTGACCCCAGTGTGACCCCAGGCGGCCTTTGCCGGAACAAGGGCAGGACCAGGGCCACCTCCTCTGGGCCCTGAGACCCTCTCCCTGCAGGGGGAGCGTTAAGCTGCTCAGCAGGTTCAGGCCCCTCTCCCGCCAGCCCTCCCCAGCCTCCCCGGCTGCAGACGCTATGCCTGCGTCATGCCCACCTGTGCCTCACTCTCCAAACAAGCCATGCCCATGCCCGGGCCCGGCCCTGCCCTTCCCCACGAAGCAGGGCAGATGCAGTGCGCCTGTCACACCCTACGGGAAGGCTGCTGGGACCGCCCTCCCCCAGGGGGCCGCTGCCCAGGGCTCCCTGACCTGCATCCCGCACCCCGAACCCCACACCCCACTGCCCTCCAGCCGCTTGCTGCTCCACTTCCCGTGGTTCATGGTTCTCCTAGGGTGGCCCAGGGACCCTGCGTCAGAGCCTCCAGACCTGTGAGGGGGAGTGGGAGCTGTAAGATGCAGATTCCCGGGCATCTTCTAGAATTTCTAGGGGTGAGGCCTGAAAGCTGTTCTCCCAGGCTCCCCTGCGGATCTGGAGCAGACACCCTGCCCGAGAGCCACTGGGCCCCGTGCTGCGCCCCAGGGGCCGCGGCTTAGCTTCCCTCCGCTCTGAGGCGGCTGGTCCAGGGGAGAGGAAGCAGGTCCTTCTTAGAGTGTGAGTGTCTGTTTAACCCTAAAGCCATCGAGCTCCTGTGGCAACAGGACAATTAAGCCTCTTCTCCTTTCCCACCTAATACCTTCCTCCCCTCTAGGCTCATCCCCACCCCCACCCACCCACTCTGCCCGGTGGCTTCAGACCCTTTCTGTGCCACCTCATCTGAGGTGTGACCCCTGAGCCTGCGTCCGCATCTGAAAAGGGGGGACGTGGGCACAGCCCCAGGGCTGTGGTTTGAAGCCCGGAGGTGGTGACAGGTAGAAGCGTCCTCCCAGGCTGTGCAGGCCACATGCAATAAACGCCAGAGGGAGAGTCACACGCAGGCCTCGGTCAGGGACCGGGTACGCCTCCGCAGGCGGCTCCAGCACATGCTCCCGCCCCCAGCCCGCCCTCCGGCAGGACACGGAACACACAGGGTTAGACACTCGGCTCCTCAGACCGCACACAGCGGAGGCAGGAAGCCCACCGCCCCGCTCGGCTCTGCGAGTGACGCCGCGGCCCGGAAGCAGGCCCTCCAGCTCTCACACCTCAGCCGCAAACAGCCGCGCACCGAGGGGCGACCCCTGGCCGAGCAGGCGTTACCTGGCTCAGGTTTGGGCCCCGCGGGGGGTGGCTTTCTCTGCACTGGCGCGGCAGCGGCTTAAAAGGAAAAGCCCACAGAAACCCCATTACAGTCCGCGGGAACGGGGCCTGAGGGGCCAGCTCTCCTCCAGGCTGAGGCGCCCTGCCGGCCCCCGGGCTGAGGCGGAGGCAGGGAAGGCATCCCGGGTGCAGGCCTGTCTGTCAGGACACAAGGTCAAGGGCCCCGGGGTGCTCTGTCTGCCTGCAGGCGGCCGCCCGAGAGCAAGGGAGCGCCCGGGGGAGACGCACATTTGTGCTTCCAGTCGCGGCTCCAGTCGTGTGAGCCGACGGCCTCGTGTGTGGTGACAGAGAGTGGGATCCAAGTCCCATGCAGAGTCCAGTCACAATCCCTCCCCCCACAGCACAGGAGCACACACACGAGAAAACATTATCCGGGAAAGCAAACCAGCTCGCCTTAATGTGCGGCCGTTCCTGTAGGCAGCCCGTAGGCCAGTGGCCAGCAAACTCATTAGTAACAGAGCCAAATACCAACAGGACAACGACTGAAATTTCTTTTGAGAGCCAAATTTTCTAAACTTCAACTTCTAGTGCCACTTCTTCAAAATATTTTGTGGAAGAGCCACACTCAAGGGGCCAAAGAGCCGCATGTGGCTCGAGAGCCGCAGTTTGCAGACCACGGCCCTAGGGCAAACCCGGGCTGGATGCCACACAGAAGCCTGCAGCCGGGAAGGGCTCTGAGCTGCCGCCCCGGCCCCGGCAGCAGTGTGTCCTCGGACCGGGCCAGGCTCAGGCGCAGCCTAGAGACCCACAGGCCCCGAGCACCTTCCCGCAGCCAGCGCAGGCCAGAGCCCCTGACTTATCCCGTCTCCTGAGACATGTTTCCCGGGCAGTGGGAGAGGGGGGCTAAGCTGGCTCTCCCCAGACCCCCAAGAGGACAGCTGTTCTGAAAGCACCACAGGAGCACAGGACAGACAGACAACCTGCAACAGATCAGCAAAGACCCTCGGCTTCTGTCAGAGGGTCCCCAACACCCCGGCAAGTGAGGCTGGGCAGAGGCCGCGCCCTGTGTGAGGTCACGCACAGTCAAAACACCTCCCTGGGGCCCTGGACTGTGGGGAGGGGGGTCAAGAGAAGCTCAGAGAAGCCGCCTTCCTGCCTCTTGTTAGCCACGTGGCCTCATTCTCCTCCTGCTTCCAGCCAGCTGGTAGACGAAGCTGTGCAAACCCTGAGGCAGGGGTCCTCAAACTTTTTAAAGTGGGGGCCAGATCACGGTCCCTCAGAGAGCTGGAGGGCCGGACTATATGAACTACTAATTCCTACTGTAACACCTCGGCTGCGCTCACTGCCCAAAAAACCTGGCGGGCCGGATCAGACTCCTCTGTGGGCCGCATGTGGCCCTCGGGGCCGTAGTTTGAAGACGCCTGCCTGAGGGATAGAGGGCGGGGATGCCATGTCTAACCGGGAGAACCGTCAGGAAGGCGGGAGAGCGCGCGCATTCCAGCGCTCAGTGGACAGAAGGCACCGGGGCGCCAGCCGGAGCCATGACCGGTCAGGGCCTTCGGGGACGAGGGCCGGGCACCGGGGGAGGTTCTTACCTGTGCCCGGCGGGGTCTTTGGGGACGGCGTGGTTTTCGCTGGGATCCTGGTGGCATTGGCCGGGCCTTTCTGGCCTGGAGGGGCCGCTCCCCGGGGCGTGGCGATCTTGGTTCCCGGTTTGGTGTCTGCCCCCTGTAACCGAAGCAGGTCAGAGTGGTGTCTGCGGCCGGGAGAGGCCGTTGTGACGTGGAGTCCATGCCACTTAAGACCACTTTGGTTCTAAATGAGGCCACGCGTGGGGGCTGTGGGGTGACCGGTTGCCCACACGATGCAACGAATGCCTCTACAATCACTAGCGTTGGCTGGGCACACAGCCCCACAGCCCCACAGCCCCACCCCATCGCCAGGCTCCGAGCACTGTTTCCTCCGGAGGAACGGCCAGGGGAGCTCTCGGCGGGAGCTGTGCTGGCGTGAGGCATGGAAGGCAGTGGAGCCCAAACCGGTTTGGCTCAGTGGATAGAGCGTCGGCCTGCGGACTGAAAGGTCCCGGGTTCGATTCTGGTCAGGGGCATGTACCTTGGTTGCAGGCACATCCCCAGTGGGGGGTGTGCAGGAGGCAGCTGATCGATGATTCTCTCTCATTGACGTTTCTAACTCTCTATCCCTCTCTCTTCCTCTCTGAAAAATCAATAAAATATATTTAAGAAGAAAAAGAAAAAAAAGAAAGGCAGTGGAGCTGACAGCGACACTCAGGTTCACTCTCCACCAGGGCTGCATCCGGCAGGACACCAGACCCTTCCCCGCGGATACCGTGCTCTGCCTCTCCTCCGGGATCCGACTGGGGCGGCCGGTCTCACCAGAGGCCCGCGAGCACCCTGGGTGCTGAACTTGACCGAGAATGCTCTGAGCTAAGTCGTACGCTTTTCTCTCCCCAAACCCTGGGATTCAGCGACTCCGCAGGTGCGCTGAGAGCCCATGGTGGGCGGACACAGCGTCGATGAGCAAACCGGCTGGAGGTGGAGCAGTGCCCAGGCTTGGTAACCCGGTCGATGACCCTGACACGTATCTCGGAAAAGACACTGGCATTCCCCAAGGACCTAACGGTGGGCGGTGCTGCCCAGCGAGCTGGCAGCCAACCAGAGGGAGCAATCTGGAATCACTCCAGTTCCCAAAGCCCAGGGTGGGCAGGGGCGCCCCACGAGGGCAGCGACTTCATGGCAGGGTCCCTGCAGGCGCCTGGGGCTGCTGCTAGGAGGCACTAGGGAGCGGAGAAGGATGGCACCCAGGCCCCATCCCCATTTCAACGGTTCTGTGCGGTGCGTCTAGGTCTTTCCGGCTCAAAGAAACACACCCGGGAGAACCACATGGGAGCAGCCTGGTTCTCGGCGGGGGCGTTTTTCCTTACCTTGGCTTTCATCTCCTTTGCTCCAGAACCGCCGGCTCGGGGCGTGCCGGAAGAGACGTGTTTGGGAGAGGAGGGTGGCTCTGGGCGCGCGGCAGGGCTGGAGGGTTTGATCAAAGGGTCTGAGCTACCAGGAGGGGGGCCCTTGGGGCTAAGGCAGGGCCTACCGTTCGGGGTTTTAGCAGAGGAAGGTGTGGATGTCTTCAACATAAACATAAACATAAACAAAATCAAAATGAAAGTCAGCACACGGGGGGAGGGGAACAAACGGAAAAAGGACGGTAACACAAACGCACGAGGGTGGGGACGGTCTACGGCGGGGAGCTCCACCGGTTTGGATCACGCACCCTGGGCGGCCGTCACCGGCCCGCACAGACTCGGCCAGCCAATGTGTGCAGCGCATTGTGGAGCGCACGTGTGACAGAGCTTTCAAAAGGGAAGACCAAAAATGGAGAGAAGTCCTAGCACGCTCTGTCTCGATCCCATTGGATTTTCTGGTGCCCGTCCCAACCCCCCACCCCATCCCCACTTTGGAGACTTTTTTGATTTATTTATAGGTGTTTCATGTCCAAAGAGTTGGTGGAGATCCCCAAAGTAGACGAGTCTAGGATGTTCCTCAATAAAACTTCTGCGGCCTGTCGAGCGTCCGACATGCCTCGCCGTCTGCCCAATTCCGGGTGCGGAGCCGGGCTGGTGGGCTCACCCGGCGCCCTCCCCTCACTGACAGGCTGGTACCACCGCTACAGTCAGGGCTGGGCCGGTTCTCAGTCTCAGAGGCTCTGCCCGACACCACTTAGCGCTCCCTCCCTCTCTCTCTCTCTCTCTCTCTCTCTCTCTCAAATCTAGAACAGATTTTAGAGAGAGAGAGAACACAATCTGGTGAACGCTAATCTGGCCAGTGTTTGCTCTGGATCTCGGCCCACTTAAGGAAAGGCCCCGGGTGGGGCGGAGGCCAGGAGACAGGTGTCGGGGAGCCGGATGGCCTCAGGGGCAGCTGCACTGGACGGCTGTGTGGGGGGACTCTGACCGGGGCGTGTGGCCCTGGGAGAGGAGGGGCCACACTTTCAGGAATAAGCCCTAGGGGACCCCGTCGAGAGGTAGGGCTGAGCGACCGCAGGGCAGGTCCTGACTGGAGGCTTCCCCTGGTCTCTCGGGCTTGTTCCTCATCGCCCTGGCATTCCCCACGGAAGTGACCGAGGCCCTCTCTGTGGCCAGCCTCAGCGAGGAGGACGGCCAAGGGAAGGAGGAGGAGGGTGAGGGGAGGGATGCGAGCTGAGGTCCTGGGGCTGGCGGAAAGGGAGAAAAGCTGGGGGTGGGGATTGGCAGTGCCTCCTTCCCCAGGTGACAAGGCAGCGCTCCCTACGAGGTTTCTGAGAGACCTGACCCCTCACTGTGAGCAAGTCGAGGGCAGGACGTGGCACCATGTGCGGGAGTGAATGTATGAATGAATGAATGAATGAATGAATGCATGAATGAACGAATGCATGAGGCTGGGGTTCCCCTAAATGTGCATCATGGTTGGCAAGCAGCTGTGGCCACTGCCTCAAGCACCAAGGGCAGAGCCCAGTCCCGCAACTCTCTGCAGGACCCTCCGCTGATTCCCGGGGTCTCGGGATGGGGAGCCCTGACTTCTTACAGGACAGCGCTCTGGGGAGTGGCCCTCAACACCCTCGCCTCTCGCACCTGGGGCTCCCTCAGGGCTCCGGGCCGATGAAGGCCCAGACCTTCCAGGCGGAACTGGTGACGGGCATTGTAAGCGCCTTTAAGAAAAACAGGTCTTCCTCTGGGGCCACAGTGGGGTTCTCCTGGGAAAACACTCCTGTGCCGTCACAGGAGCCAAAGCCACTGAGGGGAGTGACTCCAGCTGATGGGAGGTCCTGGGTGCAGTGCTGGCTGGGGAGGGTGGGATGCGGGGTGGAGGGGGACAGGCTGCTTCGCTTACTGATCCCGGGGTCCCTTCTGAAGACTGGCCACAGCCCGTGATCCAATCGCCGCCGTGGTGCGACGTGAAGCCGGCATCGATGGCACCGCGGCCGTCACTCTTGTCCACTGAGCATGCAAGGTGTGTGCCGAGGTTCCCTCCTCCGCCAGGCGCGCCCCCACCCCCTCCAGCTCTGCAGCCACCCAGCCCAGCTGCTTAGCAGTCCCGGAAGGCATGAGGCCTCTCTTCCCAGTCCTGGCTGTGCGGTTGCTGCCTTAGATCGCCTTTCCCACCCGCCCTCGCCAGCCCTTCTCTGTAGGCTGCTCTCCTAGGGATCACATCCTTGCTCAACACTCCCTCAGCCCCCTAAGGCCGTGGCCGGCAAACTCAGAGCCAAAGACCAAGCGTACGACGATTGAAATCTCTTCGGAGAGCCACATTTTTTAAACTTCTTCTAACAGCCACTTCTTCAAAATAAGACTCGCCACAGGCCGTGGTATTCTGTGGAAGAGCCACACTCAAGGGGCCAAAGAGCCGCATGCGGCTCTCGAGCCGCAGTTTGCCGACCACGGCCCTAAGGGAATGGTATGTTTCTATGTATCTTAAGCCGGTGTGCGTGTGCGTCCAAATTTCTTTGAGCCCAGACCTGCAGCGGGAAGTGTGAGATGTGCAACCTCCAGGAAAGGCAAACGTACCTTCTTCACATACCATGAGCACCTCCTTTAAACTCGGCTAACGGGACGGCACCCGGGCCTGCCCACCGCCCTGCCCTGGCACACGCAGCACACGGCTGAGCGCTGGGGTTTTACGTTGGCATGGAAACAGCCCCGGGGACGGCGGTTGTGCCTCAGTGGCACGTGTGCAGACACACATTGTACATAAAAGTTAATTCAGACACAAAGCCCGGCTCCTTGGCAGCCTCGACGGCGGCAGACAGTCCGAGGTTTCAGCAGCTTACCTTGGCTTTCTTGTCGTCGGCTCCGGCCCCGTCTCTGCCTTTGCTGACCATGCGAGCTGGTGGGATATAAAAGGAGGAGAACGGACGTTACGCCCGTGTGCAGGGCGCCGGGACGGGGCGCGGGGCCGCTGGGCGGGCGTCTCAGGGCAGGGCCACGTGCTCGGTGCGGGCGGGCTCGGTGGGAACCGCTGATTTTCGTTCCCCTGGAGCCTGTTAGGTCTCTCGCCGTTAGTGTCAATGCAGCACGCTGGGGTCGTGGCTTGGAGCGCCCTGACGGGGGCAGCAGGCTGGCCGAGGGTGGGGACATGCAGAGGGGACGCAGAGGCAGCTTCCGGGCACGCTCGGCACAGGGAAGGCAGGCCCTGCCTCTCACGGGCTCCCTTCCTGCCTCTGCCTGGGCCAGTCCTCCCCGCAGCTGGGCCCACTCCTCCCCAGGGAGCGGCTCTTGAAAGTCCCGGGGCCGCAGATGGGGCCGCTCAGCCAGGCTCTGGCCCCTGCAGGACCCCTGCTCATGCTGTCACCCCAGGGTCAGGGTGAAGGAGCTGCCTTCCCAGAGCCAGCCCCTCACTGATGGGGGCTTTGGGCCCCGGCCCCGGCTGCTCTCCAGTGAGCCCCACCCGCCCTCGACCCAGCCCTGGAGGGTCTTCTCACCACCGGGGTTAACCCTTGCATCTCCCCAAATTAGCTAATAACTGGTGACCATTAAGCATCCTGCCGATGACCTCTGGACTTTAGGACTAAACCATTGACCACTTTTGTGCTTAGAAAGCCACACCCCTTGGTGAAAAACCGGTCTCCTGGTCTACCAGGGACACCTCTGCCTGACCTTCTCCTTCTGTTGACATTCATTGTTGAAGATTGATTATAGATTTGTCTTTGATTTCAATATTGTAGCCCCTTTGCCCCGAGGATAACGGGGCCTCTTGGAGCTGCTCACTGGCTACCGGACGCTGGATATTTTAGTGGCCAGAGGCTTTCAGACTTGACTGTGATGAACCACCAGGAGAGGCTATGAAAATGCAGGTTCCCGAGACTCTTAGCCAGGGCCCAGGACCTGGTGCACAGCCTTCGCCCAAGTCGGCCATCATGCATGTCACAACCAAGGCGTCTGCGAAGCCAGCGTTTCCCAGGAGATGGAAGCAGATGAGATCAAATAACTTCGGGGAATTCATCCTCTGGGTCCTTCTCAGAGGGTCAACGTGTGCATTAGATTACTAAAGACGCGGACACGTCCTGCACCAGCAAACCCCGTTTCACTTGGTTTAGTCTCAGCTCACTGGACCGTGGACCTGGGCCAGTGGGCATCCAGTGGACCAGGATTCTATAAAACACCGTCTCCAGCAAGCGGCGCTGTAATGAGTCAAGCCACACTTATTTGCCTCCTACTATTTTGGGACTTGGGATATTTTTAAATGGACCTAGGATTTTCTTTTTCTGTTTTAAATGTTAAGGTATTATACGTGTATTAGCCCATCTGGACACCAGATGGGCTGGGCTCCAAAATGGCACCAGCCTCTGTTTTACATTTTAAAAGCACACAGCTTCCTTCATCTACAACACTTCCAAGTTTTCTAATAAAAATGTAACCGATGTTTGCCATTGACAGCCTACGTAGCACCAATGCCTGAACCCTGACAATAACGCTCACATGCTCAGGGCCCTACGTGCATGGAGGCACTTGACGTGGCCAGGCAGCTGCTGTGGGCTGTAAACGGTCCCCTCCCTGACAGGACACAGAGACAGGACGCTTGGAAACTGCCCCCCTCCCATCTCCCAGCCCCCAAAGGGCTCCTGTGGTCTTGCTTCCTAGGGCTCAAGAAGGGGGCTGCTCTGAACAGGAAAACTTTGTTCCTGCTCGTTGTCCCTCCTGCGGGGTGAGTGGGGGCGGGGTCGCTGGGTCCGAGGCCCCGGGTGGGCTGTTGGCCACTCCACGTGCCTGTGTGTGGCACCTGCCGCACAGACATCATTGCCCGCTGACGAGAGCGTCTCTGGGCTTCCCTTCGGAACCGCCTGGAAGTCGCCGTGGGGTACTGGGAAGCACTTCCTTTCGGAGCAGGCCCACCCGGCGTCTGACCCTGGCTCGGCCCCTGGGGGCTCGGTAACCTTCCGTGAGAGTGACGTGACCTCTCTGAGCCTCAGTTTCTTCATCTGCCAAGTGGGGCTCATGACACCCACGTGGGAGGGTCGGGAGGGGTCTGGGCCATAAATGGAAGGCACAGGATGGGCCCTCACAAGTAGGAGCAGCTGCTATCCTCTCGGGAGTACGGCCCACCGACCGCCTGTGGGCCGATGGACTGTGAGGATAAGCCCGGTGGCTGGGGGACCGGACAGGGCAGGAAGCGCCGGGTGGGGGTGTCGGTGACATGCACAATGCGGGCAAGCGTGAGGGGGCGCGTGCGTCCAGGGCCCGGGGGCGGGAGGGGGCCGCGGGAGGGTGAGCGGCGGGACCCAGGCGGCCACTCCCTGGCGGTGGGTGGGCACCCAGAAGCGGCAGGAGTCGCGGGGGCCAGAAGCTCAGGGGCGGTGCCCGCAGCCTGGGTGGCACACGGGGCTCCCGGGAAGCAGCCGAGGAGCTCTTGGCACAGACCTTTGAGTTGGGGGACCCGGCTGGCGGGCTTCCCGGGCAGCCCGGCCGCAGGCTGCTTTTCAGGCGGCTCTCGGAGGTCAGTCTTTTTGGTGTCGCCTCCCTCAGTGGGGCTCGGGGGCTCTGTGTCCTCGCCAGCCCCTCCCACGTCCACCTGGGAGCCTCCTCCCTGTGCCTTCTGCACATTGGCTTTGATTTCCACGTGGAACGTGAACGCGGGGGGCCCGTCCGGCCCTTCCGTGGGCCCCGCGCTGGGCCCCTCGGGCTCTGAGGCCGGGGGCTCTGTGCAAACTTTGGGGAGGAAATCCACACGGAGGGGGATGGCACCCTCAGCTGGAAAGCCTGGGGTACCAGTGGCTTCTCTGGGAACCGTCTGGGGGGCTGGCCCACCTTGGGTTGGGGAGCTTTGCAGACCTGGGGAGACCTGGGAGGGAGGGGAGGCCTGGGAGGGAGGGGAGGAGTCCTGGGGCGAGGACTCGTCGATGTCCCGGTCTTCATCGACCTCCTCGCCCCCCAGCCTCTCTTTGCCCTGATGCCCCTCCTGACCCAGGCCTCCCAAAGGCTGGTGCCCCAGCAGCCCCAGGCTGCAGCGACGCCCCGCTGAGTCCTCGGGCTTCGTCCCCAGGGGCTGGTACGCGGATTCTGCGGGGCCCTCGGGCAGGTCGGGCATGTGCTGGCGGGTCAGACCCGGGGTCCTCGGGCCCGTGGCCGCGTCTCCATGGCGCCTCGGCTCTCTGAGGGCGCCTTCCTGGACCACCTCTGGGCGCAGCTGCCCGGGGGAGCCGGGCTCCGGGCACGCCCGGGGCTCCTCCGCCCGGGCCCCTGGCTGTGGTCCCCACTCCGGCAGGGGCTCCTGGAGGCCGCCTGTTGGAAGAGGCGGTGGGCACGTGGGTTGATGCTGAGGACGGGGAGAGGCTTGGGCTCTGGCTATTTCTCTCCCCGAGGCAGCACGGAGCCCCCAGAAGCGTCTCTGCCGTGTCCAGGCTGAGCCTGTCCAGGGGCCTCGCGGGCACCTCCCTCAGCTGACCCTGAACTCTCAGTTCCTCTGGGTTTGAAGAGGCAGCGGTGGCAAAAGGTTAGCAAGGGCTCGTTGATTGCTTAAGAGGGAACAATAAGAAAAGGACAGCCGAAACCGGTTTGGCTCAGTGGATAGAGCATCGGTCTGCGGACTGAAAGGTCCCAGGTTCGATTCCGGTCAGGGGCATGTACACTGGTTGCGGGCACATCCCTGGTGGGGGGTGTGCAAGAGGCAGCTGATCGATGTTTCTTTCTCATCGACGTTTCTAGCTCTCTATCCCTCTCTCTTCCTCTCTGTAAAAAATCAATAAAATATAAATAAAATAAAAAAAGGAAAAAACATTTAAACCACGTCTTGAGCCCACAGGCGCTGTGCTCACCCTCGTAGCTTCGGTCTGTTTGGAATGAAAGCTCTCTTGGTCTACCTGCCACCAACTCTGCGGGCCTGTTTTCTCACCTTGGACCCGGTGACTCCCAAGGCCCCGCCTAGCATTGGTGTTGGACACTCCTGAAGCCGGGTGGCCTCAGGGGTGGTGCTCACCCTAGGATAAATCCCACATCACTTTCTGGAGAAACAAACAAACAAACAACAACAAAACAAACCAGAGCCCCTAGTTCCTAGCTATCTTGCAATCTAGAAGCTTCCACATTACACAGTAGACCCTGAAGTTTATTTAGGCAGCAGATGACAGCCAACCAACTCAGCCCAGGTTGTAGCAGAGGTCTCCGTTTCCTAAGAAAAAGAATCTCTAGGACTCAAAAAAAATTAAGTTCTTAAAGGATGCATGCTAAATGATTACAGAGAGTTGCTTTGCTTGAACCCGGCAGTTTTGGTCCCTGAGAAGAAAACCATACAGGGTTTGAAGTTTGCACAGAGGAAGACGGGAAAGGAACGGCCTGCTGGGGATATGGTGGAGGCCTTGTTGCTGGGACAGACCTGCAGGGAGCACAGCCTGCAGGGAGCACCGCCGTCACGCAGATCTGCATTTCTGTTGGATATGCCTTCTCTGTTCCCCACGTGGGACAAGGCCAGCTTTTTTTCAGAACCCCAAACACGCCAGCGGTGACTCAGAAGTAGCTGGGAAAAACACGTTCAAGCTCCTTCTAGATCGGCACAGCCCCACTTGAACAAGCACCGCCTCCTAAAAAATCTGCTGGGCCTGCGATTTAGGGCCCAGGTCCAAATTCTCTTTTCAGGGTCAAGTCCATCTGAGGCTTGGCATCTCCCTCCTCCCAACCCCCAAGGTTTGGCAGGCAGTTCCGGCCACTGACCTTGAGTCACATGTCCAGCCGCTTGGTCTTCCAGGTTGGGGGTGTCTCCGACGCCTGCTTCTTCAGCTGGTTTCGGTGTCGGCAAGCGAAGGAGACAAAAGCACAGACGGTTACTGTGTGCTGAGAACAAAGCTCTCTGCACCTCCCGGGAGTTTTCTGAAAGCGTTAAAAAAGAAGGCCCAGTACCAAGGGGTGGTCCCTCTGACTCTGAAAATGTCATTGCTGGGGATGTTGACCACAGGTGACCACAGTCCAACAGGAAAGACCTTCCCCGCAGGGGACAGGAGTTCTGGGGGCCCCACTGGACAAAGACACACAGGATGAGTGAGGTCAGAGGAGCAATTTTTAAAAATATATATTTTATTGATTTTTTTTTTCTACAGAGAGGAAGGGAGACAGGTAGAGAGCCAGAACCATCGATGAGAGAGAAACACTGATCAGCTGCCTCCTACACACTCCCCACTGGTACATGCCCTTGACTGGAATCGAACCTGAGACCCTTGAGTCCACAGGCTGACGCTCTATCCACTGAGCCAGACCGGCCACGGCCAGAGGAGCAATTTGCCGTTGGGCACGGCCATGGGACCTGTGTCTGGGTGTTGGGTCCCAGCCCCAGCTCGGGGCAGAGGTGGAGGGAAGGACGAGGCATGGGCAGTGGGGTCAGGCTGGGACTCACGCCCAGGCGCCATGATGGACCTAACCGCTGGGTCTCCATTTCCTCAGAATCCCGGATCTGCTCTTAGAGAAGAGCGGTGAGGGTTAACGCGGACGGTGTGTGAACGTGCTTAGCAAAGCCCTGGCACAGAGCAGGTGCCTCAGGGCTGTCCGGTTTCTTTTCTCCCCACCGCGGGAAACCCTTTGACGGCATGCCCAGAGCAGGCACGTCCTGGTTCCCGGGCGGCCAGCAGCGCCAGCGATCGCTTCTGGCGTGTCTTGGGCTCCTGCTGAGGGAGCCACCGCTCAGCCCACACACAGGAGACCGAGCAGAGGTTTCTGCACATCTCAGTGGAGCTGAGATCAATACGCTTTAACGCGGAGCCGAGTTCAGCATCACAATGAGTCAGGATGGTGCTGCAGGACAGCGAGTGGAACTGTCCAGAGCACATGTGTCAAACACAAGGCCCACGGGCCAAATCCGTCCCGCCAGGCCTTGCAATGTGGCCCGCACCGCGCTGTCATCACTGCACTCCGCTGCGTTTCCATCACAATGACAGTTTATGACTGTTCAGTAAACCATTCGGCCCGCGATTTAGGCTGGATTTTAGATTTTGGCCCCTTCTCTGATTGAGTTCGACACCCCTAGTCCAGAGAAAAGAGCCTCTGCGGCCAGTCAGCCATCCATTCCCAGGCGCTGGCCTCAGGGGCCCAGGACAGCGGCTCGAAAAGCCTGTGTGCTGTTGGCGGGGCCACCAGCCTTCTCTCCCACACCTGCAATGACTCAGCCTGTACCCCGAAAACAGAAAGGACAGGTTACCACCCCTGGCCACGCAGGCCCGCCACGGAGGGAAGGGAAAGACCCCCTGGTGTCCGGAGAGGCCCGGGATGGCCTCGTACACCCCGGCCGCCAGCTGTCTCAGGGCAGCTGTGGGGAGGGGGGCCGGCGGGGAGCTCAGGAAACGCCCCATCTACCAGCACTTAGGACAACCGCCCTCTGGGCCCCACGCGGACGCTGTGCTGCCGTGGGGTCTAACGGGGGCGACGCCGTGTCATCTGACAATACTGTCCGGGAGGCGCCGCTCCAAACGCAGACTGGCTCTGAGCTTCTGTGGAGGTTATGGGAGGAGAACTCAGCGACGGCAAGTCCTGCTGCATGGCACGGATCCGGGAGGCAGAGCACCCGGGAGGCATGCCACCATCGTGGCCAGGGAGGTCGGCAGCTTTCCCCTGCCGATGCAGAGCTGTGGTACCCGGCCCTGGTTTGACATTGGGGGGTGCCGAGAACTCTGACGACCCCCAACGCCAGCAAGGGAGGGCTCCGAGAAGTGAGAGGGCGGGAGGGCGTGTGACCGAGGCTGGGCCCTCACATCCCTAGGCGGCCTCTCTGTGTCCTTGAAGCCCCAAGAGGCAGTGACTCCCGCAGGGGCGGCCACACTGCACCCCCAATAGGACCTCAAATGGGAAGTGCTCTGGGGACACCAAGATACAGCAAGTGGAGCCTGCCAGCTGGGGTGCCAAGCGAAGGTGCAAATTGTCCAAGTCAAACAGCTGAGACTCGAACACCTCCCGCCTCACTGAGGAGGCGAGAGGATGGAGCGGGAGGGTATCTTTGAGGAGCTTTCTTTAGGAAGAACAGACTGGGGGGGAGGGGGTTGGCCGTGTAGACACCCCTCCCACCTCAGTCCCAGGGAAAGGGGTTCAAGGCACCCCTTGGAGAGCCCTGGTGAGTGTCCTCCATGGTTAGCGACATGGCGGACGCTGTCAGACCGCTACCTGGGAAAGTTGAGGAGGGGAGAGACCAGCCCTGCTTTTGGGGATGGGGGAAGGGGGGTGGACAAGGAATATGGTGGAGGCCCCGTGGTCAGTCCACAAACCACAGTTTGGGCAAAGAATGTCCGTGTGTCTCCCTCGAGCGTCCTGTGGGGGTGCTTTAGGCGATGTCCAGCAGGACCTCAGCTGGAGCGAGTGGCCTCTGCAGAGGTGAGGCTGCAGTAGATGGTCAGCCCCGAGGAGCAGCGGAGAGGGAATGTCTGCCTGAATCCAGTGCCAGGGAGGAGCCTTCAGGGGGATGACCAGGTTGGGGGGGGGGGAGAGGAGACTGGAAGAATTAAAAAAGGTCCCCACAGAGCGCGTCAGCTCTAAACAGTGCAGAGAGGATGCAGGCAGCGGCTCCCAGCAGTGCCAGCCAGGAAGACTTCCTGCCTCCCCTCCCCCTCCCCCCTTCCCAGCCCAGAGGGGAGGGCTGCCGCCTTGAATGAGCTCTGACCTTTACCCGGACAGGACCTTCTGGTCAGCGTTTGCAGACTGTGTTTTGTGACTGATGAGACAAAAATCGTTCTGATTCCTAGGAGTGATGGGAAGTGGGCTACATCCCAGGCAGGGGAAGGGCCCCCATTGGACAAACACCGGGTGACGCATGACCCATCCCATGAGTCCTTCCTCGGCCTCCAAACCACCTGCACCGTCCAGCATGAGGCCTGCGGGCTTCGAGAACATCCCCCTCCACCATCTCAGAGGACCAACTCCAAAGCCGAGACTGCTGGGAAGGGCGGGCCTGCTTGGCCCTGCACGGGGTTCCCAGCACGGGGGCCCCCGAGAGGCTGTGGCTTCCCACGTGTCCCCACTCTCCACTGCGAGGGAGAGCCTGTCGGGAGCTCTTCTGCGCTTCTTGTCGCGCGCACTCCCGCCACCACGTGGATGGTGGGGTGTCACCGCGGCCCAGGAGAGGGACGCGAAGGAACTGACAGCAGGCGTTCTGGGCTGTGCTGGCTGCCTCCTCAGGGCCTGGGAAGCTCTCGGGTGACTCTGGGGCCCCGAGTCCAGGGCTATTTCTGGTCGGTGCCGAGATGTCTGGGCTCTTCCCCATCACGGCGGACAGGACGCCAGCGCCATGCCCGATCCGTGCAGACACGTGCGAAAGCAGAGTCGCAGGACTGGATGCCGGATTATACCCTGAACTCCTCAGGGCGTGTCCTCCAAAGGCCTGGGTCTGCCACGTGCACCCGACAACGGCTGCCCACTCGGTGCTGCTGGCGGCAAACCGCCCCCTGAGGCAGAGTCTGCAGGAGGGTGGCCTGGCCCCGGGTGAAGGAGGGTCGCCGCCAGCCCGCCACGGCGCACCCTGACCGGGACAGGAAGGGGAAGCGAGGAGGACAGCGCGAGGTCCTCTCCCCGGAGGCTGGCAGACAGCCGTGGAAGCAGCAGGACATCCAGGCGTCAGGCTGAGAGCAGCCCAGTTGTCCCAGGCGCGGTGTCCGCCCACATCCCCGCCTCGCTCTGAGATGAGCACCGCCCCACGCACACCCTTTCCTGCAGCCGAGCAGCCGGGAGCCCAGCCCTGGGTCACCCTCACCTGTGGTTCCTTCTGGGATCTCCGGGTGGGGCTGAGCGGCGGCCGGCTTGCCGGGGGCTCCCTCCTCCGCTAGGGGCGCTGTCGCGTCTGGAAACCACTGAACATCACCTTTGGGGGGCCCGGGGCGAGCTGCGCCAAGCCCCTCACCTCGCTTCGTGTGCGGCAGCAGGGCAGGGAGGGGAGGCAGAAGGGAGCTCAGCCGCATGCAGAAAAGCCACACCGCAAAGCAGGCCCAGAGCCACCCTGTCTGACATCTCCCGGGAAGCCGTTAATATTCTGCTTACGTGGCACCGGCCGTGAGACGCCCAGGCCCTCTGCCAGGAGAGCCAGGGAGCACCCTGTGTGAGCGCGCAGTGCGCGAGCCCGCGGGGACGTCCCGGGGAGAGGTGGTGGAGAAACGCTGAAAATCAGATGGCTGTCCAGATGCCTGATCCTTAAGGTGTTGCAGGAGAGGAACTGGGACTGAGGCAGGGCAGGAACGCTGAGGTTAGGGATGGGGGCTATGGCTTCGCTGGGAGCCCTTTGACCTCGCTGGGCCTCAGTTTTCTCATCTGCAAAATGGGACTATCATCTTCAGGTAGTCTCCGAGGTTTCCTCCAGCTGGCCCTGTCCCGGAGCCCATGGCCCCCGGTTAAGAAGCACAGAGCCCCCTGGGTAGCGAGGAGCAGGCCCGTGCTGCCCAGGGCCAGGTGCTTGACCACAGGACAGGGGCGGGACCACCTTCAGAGCAGAGTCCGGAGGTGCGGACCCGCCACCAGGAGTGGCTGTCGGTCTCTCATTAAAGTGAAGGCTTCCGAGTCGGCACTGGTCCCCGAGCATTGCCCTGGCACACTCCCAGGCGGTTCTGGGTGGACATAAGGGGATGTCCGGGCTGGAAGCTGTCCGAGGGCCTGGTCCGTTGAGACATCTGGAGTCCATTTTCATGATGGAGCAGGCCGAGAACCTTGGCCCAGCACGGCCCCTTCCCTGTCGGCTGGGAGCTGAGCTCTTGGGACCCACACAGGCACAGCGTCCACCGTGCAGCGAGACCTGGTTGGAAGATTCTTCCAGGACACGGTTGACGGGACTCTGAACACATGGTGTGGAAGGCTGACCGGGGTTCTGGCATCAGTGTCTCGGGACTTTCTCAGGGAGGCAGGCAGCTTGTGCAGCCGTCCTAACAAGGCCGGCAGGGTAACCCTTTCATCACCGGCTCTAAGGGCGGCAAAGAGCATTTGGCCTGGTATTCTCGTCAGCGGGCTGAGAACCTGGGGGTGGGGGCAGGGCCGTGCCCAACCTGTCCTCCACACGTGTACCCTGAGACCAAGCCGTGGGCAGGCACTTTCTGAATTCATCCCAGGTGGACGCTGGGGCCAGCTTCTCCTCCGGAGACACCCAGGTACAGCAGCGGGCAGGGCCCCGAGCGGTGCTGAGAACAGAACCGGGAGCCTCCTTGGGGGGAGGCAGAGATGGAGGTGCAGATACACGGACTGGTTACTCAGAAGCCATTCTCAATTCCCTTGCCTCTTGATGTCTCCTATTGAAAAGCAAAAGACGTGGTGGCCCTGTCTCCCTCCCAGCCAGGGCTGGGCCATGGGACTCGGCTCTGACAAAGGAGACACAGGCAGAAGCTGGCCAGGGGGTAGGGCTTGCAGAGCAATCTTGCTTTCCTGATTAAAAGAGGACACCTTGGATGTCAGGGCTCCTCTGGCCGCTTTGCTTTGCTACTTTCTTTCTGTGTTGAAGGCAGATGTGATGCCTGGACGTGCTGCGGCCATATTGTAACCCCGAGGCGGCAGACCCTTACAGGAGGGCAGACGATAAAGACAGCAGAACGTGGATGGGACCGGGGACTTCCCACATCTGGATGTCTTATTCTGTGAGACAAATAAACCTCTTCATGTACAATATTTGCCACAGTTCCTTGGGTTTTCTTTGACCTGCCATCAAATTCAGTCTTGACTGACATAGATGGGGGGAGCAAGAGAAGGCGGTCAACATCACGGCCCCAGGAGCACCTCAGGAGAAACACCAGGAGCTTCATAGGAACCCAGACAGCAAACGTCTAGAGCGAACAGGTCGGAAGATGGGCTGGAACCCACATGGTGGCCAATGTCCCGAGGCCCAGCCAAGCCCATTGCTCCAAAGAGGAAGGACAATGAACCAAGCCCAGTCCCGACGAGCATGGACCGCCTTCCCTCAGCCACACGGCTGCTCTGGGACCTGGTGGCTCAGGAAAGAGGGAGCTGGGCGGGGCTCTCCAAGGAGTTTGGGGAAGTCACTTGATAGGAAGCAGGGGCTTTGCGGAGTTGTGCTTGGGCCCTGCTTTGCCACAGACCCCAGTCTCTGCAAGTGAGGCCGCCTCAAAGCACCCACACGATGAAGGTGCCCATGGCTGGCACCAGCGAGCAAGGCATCACAGCAGGGCTTGGCTCCGCCAGCATTCCTGAGCCAAGCCCGAGCCATCCTGCAAAGCACTGAGCGAGCACATCTCTCAGCCAGAGGGAGGGGCACGGCGATGCAGCCAGGGAGGGTGGCACACACGGGGCGCAAAGCACGGCGACGCGCAGGCTGGTGCGTGGGAGGGGCGGGCTGGCTGGAGCAATGAGAGGGAGGAGGTCCCACCTTTGGCGGTCGGACTGCTCTTAGCACCCGCGGTTTCAGATCTGTTGCTGGTGGGGGTCCGCAGGTCTGGAACATACACAGTGAGTCCCTCAGAACGGCCGCCTCTCCCAGCCCCCGCTTTGGGCCTCAGGAGGAGCTCGGGAGCAGTTTGTTTTGGAGCCAAAAGTCAATCAGTATGGAAGCCAGAGGGATGGACCGTGGCCGCATGATAAAACCACAGAGAGGACCACCTGCCCCCTCCCACCATCCACACCAGGGTGATCAGGCACAGACACAGCTGAGGAGCAGCTGGTCTTGGCGAGAGACAGCGCCTTTTAATCAGCTTGTGGTTCCAGCCGGGGCAGGGCTCTCCTGACAAACGGCAGCAGATACCCAAAAGCTGTGCCCGTGGACCTGGGGTCTCGGAGAGACTCATGGGAGATCCCTGACACTAATGAAGGGCAAGCAGAAAACACCTGGCAAACCCGCAGCCCTCCAACCCCTTCCTTTGGAAAGGAAGTAGCTCAGGGCTGACCCCGTGCCCACTTCTAACCGGACAACTGGTGTCTGGACTTCGCCCGCTCTAAGTGCGGCCTCACCAGCCTTGAGTGGCAGCTGAAATGCCAGCCTTAGTTACTTAGAAGAAAACTGTCCTTTCAGAACCTGAAGCCTTTTAATCAGCAGGGGGTCTCATTCGACCCGTTAACCAATTCGCACCCTCTTCAGCTCTCTTTGGCTGCATCTAGTCCTCTCCCGACCTTTAGCACCTACTTAGACGCTCTTTGCCCGGTATTTCACATGTGGTTTCCTGCCATGATCCGATGATCCGAAGTAGTCTCTGTCACTTTTCTGAAGTGTCACAGGTCAGGTGGCACCTTCTGCCAGTGACCCCCTGCTTCCCATATAAAAACAACTCGTTCTAAATCCTTAGCGGCAAGAACAAGCCTGAGGAGAACGAGGGAAATCTCTTAGGTAGGACTTGCTTCCTTGGCAAGTATATTCTTCGAGTAAGCAAACTCTCTTCGAAGGTTTCCCTCTCACAGCAGGGACACAAAGGTTAGCCGCTTCCAACTTGCATGTAAGCTGACCCTTAGGCAACACAATTTGAACTGTGTGGGTCCACTTACATGCAGCTTTGTTTCAGTGAATACTGTAAGTGTATGCTCTCTTCCTTATGATTTCTGAGGTAACATTTTATTTTCTCCAGCTTCCTTTCATTGGAAGAATACGGCACGTAACATAGAACTTAAACTATCAATAGGTGTTAATTGACTGTTTATGTTATCAATAAGGCTTATGGTCAAACAATAGGCTGTCAGTAGTTAAGGTTTTTTTTTGGGGGGGCTGTGTGTGTCAAAAGTTATATATGTATTTTCAATGACTTGGGGGGTTGGCACCCCAAACTCCCAAGTTGTATAAGAGTCAGCTGTGAGTGTATATGTATATGTGTGTGTGTATGTTTAGGCAACTCAGAGACACAAAATAACTCAGTTAGCTGGTTCTTCCTGTACAAACTGAATTTAGTTTTCCCTTTACACAATAAGACTGGTGAAAACTGCTTTTTTTTTTTTTTTTTTTTTCCTGGACTTAAAAAAAAGAAAAGAGCTTTTTATTTGAGAATAGCTTTAGATTTACAGAAAAAATGCAAAGATAGGACAGAGAGTGTACCCCAAACCCAGTTTCCCCATTATCAACATCCTTCATTATTATGGTACATTTGTTGCAATATAATTTATATGTTTAACTTAATTTTTAAACCAGGCAACCCTATCTAGAGCATCCCTATCTAGAGCACCATTTTTCATTGGCAGAATTCAAATGGGGCAAAATTCAGTATGTGTGATTCTAAGTTGGAGTCCACCCACGAGAGTTTAATAACTGAGGTTCCCGGGGGACTCCGCCGAGTGATGAGAGAGATGCGGGTTGGGGGCTGGAGGGCATGTGTGGGCTCAGGTCCTCAGAGGAGGGAGCGCCAAGAGCTGAAACAAAGCAACGAGGGCTGGGGCCAAGCTGGGGCCTGTGGGGAGGCCAGAAGGCACATTTCTTGTTACCATGACACCAGGCAGGGAGTTCTAGGCTCATTGGGAACCCATTTCCCTCCCCGCCCCCCCCTCCCCCAAAACCCTTCCCCTTCCATCACTCTTTCTGGCTGGGCAGCCTCTGAGCCCAGGAGCAATAGGCCCACTCTCCCTCCACTTCCTCCAACGTGGAGCCCACATGTCTAATTTCCAAGCTCCTGTGACTCCAATGTGTCCTCTGCTTACACACGTACAGAGGCCAGCCTTTGACACAAGGCCCCCAGTGAGTCCTGAAACCTTCCCAAGACAGGGATTGTTGTTCCTGCACTTGGGCACCTCCTGGTGGCCTGCCTCCTCCAGGGAGCCCTCCTGGATAGACGCACCCAGAGAAGGTAATTTCCCTCCTAGGAGCTGCACTGCTCCTATTCGCTGCCCCACACCCCGGGCTGCAAAGTGTTTTTAAAATTGTGTTTAGTTCTAAAACAGGAGGTAGGCTGCTTGTCATTTGCCTCCTTAGGAGTGGGTGCGGAGGGCAGGGGCGGGGTCCTTCTCACGCGGAGGCCAGCGTGGTGCTCCTGGCGGGAATCGGGTGGGCATGGGGAGCGGAAGAGAGGCTGCGCGCTCCCTGAATTTGGTGTCCAGATGGTGAAATGAAATGTATGCCTTTGGGATGGGACAGGAGGAGGCCAAGCCAATTGGGCCCAAAAGATGTGTTTTAGAACATGGAGAGGTCGGTGCAGTTTATTAATGCAGGTATAGTAGGAATCCCGGCGCTAACCAACATGCCGAATAGGGCCCAGACAGGCCCGAGAGGGAGAGATGAAGATAAGGTGCAGGGCCACATATTTGGCATGCTAATGAGCGCTGCTGGTTTGTAGGTCACCGGGTGTGGCTGAAGACTGGGGAGAGCACCCTGTGCTGCTCAGACTGCAGGCGTTGTGCCATGGCATCCACTCAGGTGGCAAACTCTCCTCTGGAACGGTATCTTTTCAAAGAGCGTCCCATTTGGGTCATCGAGGCTCATTCAAAGGATGAGGCCTCTCTCTATTGGCAATCTAACCCAATAACGTGTTTAAAACTTCTTTAAAAAAAATACTGGCTGCAAGCCCTTCCAAAGCAAGCGGACCGGCTGTGACTCCCAAGGCCCGGGCCTGCCGTGCAGAAAAGGGGTGCACTAACCTTTCAGGCCGTGGTCCCCGTCGCCCCCGTGGTCCTGCAGCAGGGTGTAGCCCCCCTGGGAGGGGAGGTCCTTCCTGTCCCCCAGCCCGTAGGTCCCAGCATGATCCTCCATCATGTTGAACTCCTGGCGGGGCTCAGCCATCCTGGTTCAAGGCCCACCTGGGGAAGGAAGATGGGAGGTTGAGGCTGGGATGTTGAGATGAGGCTCAGTGCTTGGTGTGTGTGTGTGTGTGTGTGTGTGTGTGTGTGTGGAGGAGGGGGGTCAAGGGGAGTAAAGTGCCGCCTCCCTAGTTCATGGCAGACATATCCCCACCTCCCCACAGCCCTCCCCAGCAGCCTCAGCCTGGGCTTTGCGTCCCTGCCAAAGTGTTATTTACATGTGTGTGTACATTTAATTCACAAACACCACATAGTTCGTGTTCAAAAGCACCAGGTGGACAGGTGCAGCGAGTCTGAGTTGTTATGCCCAGCACTCATTCAACTTCATTAAGAAGTAAATGTTACCAAAACCGGTTTGGCTCAGTGGATAGAGCGTCGGCCTGCAGACTGAAAGGTCCCAGGTTCGATTCCAGTCAAGGGCATGTACTTGATTGTGGGCACATCCACAGTAGGGAGTGTGCAAGAGGCAGCTGATCAATGATTCTCTCTCATCAATGTTTCTAACTCTCTATCCCTCTCTCTTCCTCTCTGTAAAAAATCAATAAAATATATTTAAAAATATTAAAAAAAAAGAAGTAAATGTTGCTGACTAGGAGTTTGTTTTTTGTTTGTTGTTGTTGTTTAATGCAGAGGGTAGGACCAAATAGGAGAAGGAAGGTGTCAGTAGGTACCTCCGGTAAGGACACCAAAGCAGAGAAAAGCACGTGTTGTTCAACCTCATGCAACTATCAGCACAGCAGAACCACCTCTTGACCGTTGTCCGGACTCCCCCAGTTCCGAGTTGGGCAGCCCCCTGTCCTGCCAGGAGGTCAAAGCTGTGGCCTCCGCTCACCTCACTGGCACCCACCAGGACCTCAGCTGTGCATTCTGAGGGCGAGCAGAAAATCCCTAATTAACAGGTGTGAGGCTTGGAGCAGCATGCACCCCCTTCCCTGCAAAAGCCCAGCAGAGCGAGGTAGAAATGATATTTACTCAGATGTTGTTCTCATCTTCAGTGAGAATATTTCTTTATTTAAAAAATAGCTCATAGCTTGGAGTTTCTGGACTTTTCAGTATGCCACTTTGCCCTGGTTCATTTATGCTACTTTGGATTATTCCATCAGTTTCCATTTTTATCTCTGGAAGTTCTTAGTCTCTTGTCTTTTACTTTGATACCTCCCTTTATAAAACCTAATTATCTCATAGTACTTATTTTTTACTTATCTTTGAAACTCCCCTGTCTTACTGGCTTTCAATTCCTCCCTTTAAACTTTTACATGTATTTGCTTCCTTTTGTTGTTGAAATTATTTTTACTTTTAATTTTCACCCCAGATTTATATTAGCTTTTCATTTATTAATGTTTTTTATTTTTGAGATAATTTTAGACTAGCAGGAGAGTTATTTAGTGACTTTTAACCTTTTGAAATTCCTTTAAAATATACTTCCCTGTGTTACCTTTTATCATTCTATCCTTTTAGGCTGTTTTTTTCTTTCTTTCATTCTTTCCTCTTTATATTTGTCACTTTTATAAATTTTTCATAATCTAAGTCTAGTCTTTAATTTCCCTTTATAATTTGTAGCAGCTATCTCCTTAGGTTCCTGTTTTCACTGGGACCTGTCTCAATGGCTCACGGGAGCTGCCGAAGTGGGTCAGCTGTCCAGGGAAGAGCTGATAACGCAAACTGGAGTGGGCGGGGCCTTTTTCTTTCCTGCCTCGGAGGCATCTAGCTCTCAGTTTCGGTGATCAATTAATAATGTCTCCATGGGAAAGGGGTGGAGGACATACCTGGTGACATGCGTCCTCTAAATGAGTTAGGAGTTGCAGAATGTTTAAAAATCCACAGTCTCATCTCTACAGGTGTGGGGCAACTCATACAAACGGTGCACTACAAGGTGGAGGGTGCATGCACCTGGGGCAGACCCTCCACCAATTTTTTCCAAGACTGGTGTTCATGGTGGGACAGCTCCACTTGAGCTTTACATGTGGACACTGACATTTGAAAGGCGTATACTTTTCATGTGTCACGAACTTTTCCTTTTTCCGTCTCCCTCTCCCCCCCAGCCATTTGAAAAATAGAAATTCTCAGCGTGGCTTTTGCACTTGCCGTTGGGTTTTGTTCATCTAGTGTTTTCCATAAGGTTTTAAGTCATTCCTGGAGCCCCAGGCAGCAGCCCGTTGTCCTGGGGCCTGGGGACTGGGGACATGCTGCCTCGTCTGGGTCCATGGAAGCAGATGAGAGGGTGGTTGTTCTCGGGGCCCTGGCTTCTGATGACACTCCCCGCCCCCGCCCCCCACCGGCACCACACCGCAGGGCTGGAGAAAGTCCGATACACCAATAGGAAGCTGAATGAACTATAAGGGCTGCTGGAGAAATGAAATCACCCTTAAAAACACAGGCAGCTATTCACGATGCAACATAAATGAACTGTGTGCTTCTCAAGGGCCAATATTTTCCTTTGGAAAGAAAGTGCAATGCACTACACAGGGAGGCTCACCATGCCACCCTCCTGCCGACCCCGGGCAGCAATGCCCCTGGGTTCACAGATCTTCTGAATCAACAAGGCCGCACAGCCCCGGAGCCTGGTACGCAGCTGGTGCCACACGGCCCCTGTCTGAGAAGGAGCTTGCTCTGTGTGGGCACCTCACAGGCATGCCACTGGACACACAGCAGTCCTGTGATGTAGCTAGTCATCAGCACAGATATTAAGATTCCCGGTGGATAGATGAGGACTCTGGGAAGGTCACACAGCCCAACATCACACAACCAGCGGGAGACGATGCCAGGGTGCAAAGCCCGTGTCCTGATGGAACACACACGGCCTGCCCTTCCATCCTGGACTGTAAAATGCTCCCCACCTTCCTGTCCAGCACAGGTCTGGGAGGAGAAGGAGCATTGTCCAGGACTCACACCCAGAAGCTGTGAGAGCAAGTCATGTCTCTCAACCTTCTTCATCCACAAAATGCCCCTCTTAGCCCCCACACAGACCCCCTCTTCTGAAAGGCACCGGTTCCATGATCGGTGACCTCTGAGCTCCCGAAGTGAGACCGCTGGGCCTGTCCCCTCCAGTCCTGGAGGCCGAGGTCATTCACAGGACAGGAGGAGGTCTCCAGCCCAGCCTGGGGGAGAGGCAGGCAGCCCCAGCATCTCAGTCCTCCTCCTGCTTCCTCTCCTCCTCCCCCTCCGCCCTGACCCCTGCCATCTTCCTCCTTGAGGACCAGGGCAAGATGATTTCTCTGAAATAATAACGGGACAAAGAACATGTAAACCAGCTGCCCACGGGCACGGCGCACGCCCTGGCCCGAAGACTTCCCTGCAAAGACGGCGGCGAAACAACAGACTAGACGCGGCCCTCACCTCCCAGACCCCTGTAATCTGGAGGAGACACACAGACGGGGAAAATAAACACACCGAGAGGTGCCTTCCTTTGTTTTCTCATTCTTCTAATCAACCTATCTGATCTCCGCACCCCCTCTTCCCCTGTCCCTCTCCCTCCTCTCTGATGTCCTACCTCCTGCTCCCCCAGGCAGTGACTCAGAGGCTGAGGCTGCAGGGTGGGAGGCAGGGAAGGAATTCCGGGAGAGGCACAAAAGTTGAGCTAAACCGGGAAACGAAAAGGAGCCACTTTTCAGGGACCCTGGGAAAAGGACTGCATCCCGACAGGAGAAGGCGTGAGCCAGAGGCTCCTGGAGTCTGCCCCTGTGTTTTAGAACCGCGCTAGGGGTGTCGAACTCAATCAGAGAAGGGGCCAAAATCTAAAATCCAGCCTAAATCGCGGGCTGAATGGTTTACTGAACAGTCATAAACTGTCATTGTGATGGAAACGCAGCGGAGTGCAGTGATGACAGCGCGTTGCGGGCCACATTGCAAGGCCTGGCGGGACGGATTTGGCCCGCGGGCCTTGTGTTTGACACATGTGGCGTAGACGGAGGCCCCGGAGGCGCAGGGGCCCTTGGAGTCACTCTAGTGCCTCGTCCTACAGTCACAGCCAGGGGCCACGAAAGGGAGAAAACGGTGCACAGGGTTGGGAGGGACGGAGGGACAAAGGAGACAGGGCTGGCGAAGAGAAGAGGAGGGAACTGGAAAGGATTCAGCCGTGGCCCTGCTGCTCTCTGGGCATGCCCGCTGCTCCCCACCAGCCCGCTGCTCCAGCAGGCTCTCCGGGGGGCCTACGTTTCCTCGGACGTGGAGTGTCTCTGCCTCAAGGAGGTGAAGACCAAACAGCATTCCTGCACCTACCACTGCCATTCCTATTCCTTCTAATCTTCTTAACCACGGTGGACCACAGAACCAAAGCAACGCATTTTGGTAATGAGTCATCCAGGTTCTAGAAAGCTCCTTTGGGCAAGCCAGGGCAGCACTGGACAGCCTTTTGGCAGTTTTGGGATACTAACCAGTCAACCACCACGATAATTTGACTTTAATTCAAAGAGGTCTGCCTCTTGCGTCTGTAGATGCTCATGGTGTAAAGGTTAGATGCACCCGTTTATTTGAGCTCTGACTGACCGTAAGCCAGCCACAGTGGCTTCAGGAAGAGAATATCTCTAACATGACAGCCCATGAGAGGGATGGCTGTTCTCCCTTTCTGGACAAGGAAACGGCTCCGAGAGGGTCAGGAACCTGTGGAGGGCCACACAGCTAGTAAGCTGCAGAGCAGAGAGTTTGAACTCTGACTTTTGATGCTAAAGCTCACCTCTACCCTACTGTACCACCCCAGCGCCTTCTCAAAAGGAAGTTGAACACACATAGCCTTTCCCCTCACTCAGGCCTTGGTGCAATGATCCTATCTGGGCTGGAGTTAGAGGTAAGGGAACGCCTGCATCTGGGGCTGTTTTCTGCACCCCGGCTCACCAACTCACCGCCCTCCAAGCCAGACGCCTCTCCCACCTGGAGTCTGGCTGAAACTGAGCCCATCTGGGTGGCAGCACCAGGTGGGAGCTCAGGGCTGGGCTGCAGCCCTCGCTAGGGGGCAGCAGACGCCGGCCGGGTGCCCACTCGCTGCAG